GCCGCAGCTGTGATGCATGTTCCTCACACAAAGGGCCACAAGACCAGTCCCGGGCTCAGCTTCAGCAGCAACCAGCAGGAGCCCCAATGGAGCGAGTAGCTGTGGACGTCATGGGCCCATTTCCTCGCACAGACAGAAGAAACCGCTATGTTCTTGTGGCCATGGACTATTTTACCAAGTGGCCGGAAGCATACGCCATCCCAGATCAGGAGGCTGAGACGGTCGCTGATGTATTAGTGGAGGGGATGTTCAGCCGCTTTGGAACAGCAGAGACCCTCCACAGTGACCAGGGGCGTAACTTTGAGTCCAAGGTATTTGCTGCCATGTGTGAACGCCTTGGGACTAAGAAAACCTGCACCACCCCACTTCACCCCCAAAGCGATGGGCTGGTGGAAAGGTTTAACAGGACGCTGGCCCAGCAGCTAGCCATCCTTACCTCAGAACACCAACGGGACTGGGATTACCATCTTCCCCTTACCCTCATGGCCTACAGGTCGGCAGTGCAGGACTCCACCCAATGTACGCCTGCCCTGCTCATGTTAGGGAGAGAGCTGAGAACTCCTGCAGAGTTGGCTTTTGGGAAACCCCGGACGCGCCAGAGGCACCACCGGGCCAGGACTACGCAAGGAAGCTGCAGGACCGGCTGGATTCTGCACATTCCTACGCCCGAGAGCAGCTGGCGAAGGCAGGCCTGCGCCAAAAGAGGAATTACGACATCACCACTAAAGGGAGGCACTTCCGTGCTGGGGAGCTGGTGTGGGTCTACAGCCCAAAGAGGAAGAAGGGACGGTGTCCTAAACTGGATAGCAGCTGGGTGGGGCCTTGCAGCGTCCTAGAGCGAGTGGGGGAGGTTGTTTACAGGGTGCAGTTGCCTCCTAGGGGGAGGATAGTAGCGCTGCACAGAGACCGGATGGCCCCCTACAGAGGACAGTCCCTCCCCTCCTTTCCAGAGGGACGTGTACAGAGCGTCCGTGACCCTGCTCAGAGGGGCCCCCGACCGGGGCTGCGTTCCCCCCCCTCGGACTCTTCACCCCAAAGCCCCGAAGCTCCGCGTCCTCCTCAGGGGCTCAGGAGGTCAAGGAGGGAACGTAGGCTACCGCCCCGCCTCAGAGACTGTGTCGTTCCCTCGGGGACGAGGAACTTATTGCTGGGGGGGCAGTGTAACGATGGTTAAGTGTTACTGGACAGTGACATGTTGGTTTTCTCTGCACACTGTTGTTGTTCCTTTAAGATTCATGTTTGGTTGGGCTGCAGGAAGTAGTGAGGGTGGTGTACAGGAAGGGGTGGGGGGACCTGGTTGTTCTGTGTGTGTGCCAGGCTGAAGAGAGGTGTAGTTCGAGAGCGCTTCCCCCTGAGTTAATAACCCGCTGGCTTATGTGCCGAATAAACGGACAAACTGAGACCCCAACCGTCTGGTTCTTGTGAACGTTACAGTATTAAAATTCAAGCAGGCTGAACGAATCCTTTCCATCTTTGTCGACGTCCTCCTTAAAAAATTAATATGCAAACAAAGAGAAGAAGAAGAAGATTACCTTTTTTATAGTCTAACTGACCTGGGTACAGGTGATGCAAACACGGCTGGAGTGTTTGGTTTAAAAGGTGCAGCCATGGTTCACAGTTTATAACAGAAGAGATGCTAAATTTAAAACACACACACACACACTGGCCAAGCCTTTAAACAAATGATGAAAGACCATCTGTTTGTCACTCAATGTAACAGCACCCCTAATCAGCCAAGTCTCAGTAGAATTTAAGGTAGCACTTCCGTGCTACCTTCACTTTTCAATTGCAGAGGTTTTCACTGGTGCAGAACAAATTAAATTTCACAAAACTGATTTTTGTGAAATTTAATTTATGACCAGGCTGAATGTTGGAAAATGTTTTTGTAGACATGGAATCACTGAATATAAAACAAATAATGAAGCAGTCTAAAAGTTTCAGATGTTCAATTTTACTGATGAGTAATAATTTTAAAAAATGTTATTTGGTGCTTCGGTTTCCAAATGTCTCTTGTCATTTTCAGGTTACATTCATTCACATTTCCTGAACAGCAGATGAGTGTGTGTCATTTTATCTATCTTAGCATTGATTACTTTGCGTCCAAACAGCAAGTTGCCTTCATTTGCGGCTATAAGAACAGTAGACTTTAGTACTATTTTGACATGCTGAATAACGAGAAAAACAATATTTCTCTCAATGGAGGTTGGAACTTTTAGAGGTGGCAACAATAACATGAACCAAAATTTTGTATTTAAACAGGAGCTTGGAAGGTTGTGTCCGCCCTTGAAAAAAAAGTAACTTTTTTTTTGGAGTGGGGCAGAAGTCAAACTTTCGGGTTATTATCTCTTTGTTTTTTTCATGGCGGAAAGATGCTTCCCTACTAAAGTGACTGTTTTTAAAAAGGGAACGATAAACACAATGGAAAATATATTCTAGAACTAGCTGCTTCTCCCATTTCAATATTAAAATGAAGCAGAAGAGAACAAGATCAGTGTTTGCTGTGTTGGTGTACCCGAGAACATCGACTAGGATAATAAAAACACACCTTAGTGAGGAACATTTGACAAATTTTAAACAAAACAGCTGATACAGTCACCACAAAGATACTTTTTTTTTTTAAATCAGGGATTGAGTTATCATATATTTTCATCTCTTACAGTGTATTTGTTTAATTTAGGTTTAACAAAACTGGTATTAATCTGCTGTGTTGTTTCCAAATGATGCTTATGATTCATCTCATTCTCATTAAAGAAACAGCTGGTCAATGTAGGAAGGATTCTGTTCTTTTTTTAATAATCAGAGTGTGTATGATAAGGGTTGTTTAACAATTTGCCAACACAGACACACAAACACACTACATAAACTGCTTATGCCCGTACACAGTTGGCACACTACAGTATCACGGTTTACACATGTATTCAATGAATGAACACATTTTCAATAAACTTGAGTGAATTTCATACTCATGCATGTGTGCACTCCTACTGTACACACACACACACAACCTGTCTCCCTCACTGACTACCACTGAGCCCTCCCTGCTCCACTTTTTTTGTATCTGTCATCCAGGAGCATGTCAGTGTTTAACCCCCTCCCACGCTGTGACACACACACACATATGCACACATGCAGCCATTTTCCTTTACAAAAAAAAACTGCACAAAGTCACTCAAACATTTTTTTTTACCCTTCTTTCTGTGTTAAAACACACATACACAAACCAGGACACTAGTTTAGACAGACACAGCCAGCTGGAGCAGGTATTATAAGTACCTTTCCATTCCTTCTCTTTCCCTTGTTATGCCATTACTGAAGCTGATAGAGTCGGAGCTGTCGTTTTCAGCTTGTGTGTGTGGCCACGTATATGTGTGTGCATGTGTTGAGAGGTGTCACAGGCTCGCTGCATATTTGCTTTTGGCTCGCAGAAATCATTTAGTTGTCCGGTCAAAAAGGGCATCTGCCATCCAGCCACTCTCCTTTTCTCCGCAGGAGAGCACTCACAACAGTTTAAGAGGCTGCGGGGTTTCTTCCTCATGACTGCATCCAGCATTTAGGCTGCTCTTGGATATTTAAATACTAGAGTGTTGCAACCATAGCTCAAAATAAGAAGGTTTAAAAATTTTAAGCCTAAACTTGCACTTTCCTTGTGAGTTGGGCTGAGGAGATGCTCAGGCTTTTTTTTTAATCCCTGTGGTGTTTATGGAAGAAATAGTGATGTGGTCTAGCAAGTGGCGAAACTAGAGTGTCAGCTGCAGTCAGCGATTATCTCTCAGTAATCACTGCTCTGTTATATTTCAAAGTATCAAGTCATGTGTTTTCTTTGTCCTTTTGTTGTGTCAGGATGTGTAAGATATATTTATGTTGCAAAGATGTGAAGAAAACAAATCAACTCTACTCTGCAGGTGATTGAAAAAATAAATAACACGAATTTTTCTCTATGCATTCACACTTAAAAAATCAACATGTCCTTGGTGTGTCCTTCAAATCCTTCACTTTGACACATCCAAAATGTGTTAATTTTCACAGTTGAATGTTGGTTAAGGTAACATAAAATGCTTTGGACCATGATGAAAATGGCAGGCATCTCACATGTGTAATAGCTTTATGGGGCATGTAATAGTCTGCATGCACGGGGGCCAAGGTGCCTGCAATAGGGACAAGTGCTTGGCCAATTTGCAGCGTGTTTATTTATGTGTGTGGGTGTAAGAGTAAATATCAGTACACCTTCCTAAACCAAGACTGGCCATAGAACAATCAAATAAGCTCACAGTTGTCTGGGGGAATTAAAAATGCGCTATGCGTAAAAGAATTAGCGGAACATATATGATAAGGACGCAGAAACATGGCACTAGACAGATTAGGAATAAGACGCACAGGAGCCAGTGGAGATAATCCCGTTATCTCGTTGAACGTAAAATGCCAATGTGAAGCATCCTCGGAGATCAGGATGAACTGAACATGAACTAATGCTGCGGATATACGGCAGGAGGAGTGGGGGCAATCAATACTGGGAAACTGAGGTAAACACTGTTATTCCTGACCTTAAGGAACATCCACGCAGTTTACCGCAATGTCACTGACGGTCTCCGTACTCCACTCATTGCGATCTCATACACGCGCGCACGCTCCGTGTTCCGTTTGACACCAGTTCGATGTCCCCCCCGCTAATGACATTGTTTCACCTTTGAGAATTCCCCATCAGTACCAAGAGCGCGTCTCCAATACATAAGAGATTATTGATGAATGGTCCCTGTCAAGTTGAGGAGAAAGGAAGCCGGGATTCTGCTCATTAAAGGCTCGGGATAACCGGGTGCCTGTGGAGACGCACGCCGGTCATCACCTTTTAACCAGAGCGCATTTAACATTACGCGCGACAGGAATGCGCGCGTGTACACACGCAGACACGGACACAAGAGATACACAGATAACCACGAATTAAAAAAGCAAAAATACAACACGAGTATAACTCAAATGACAAAAAGGAAGACAAGCAGACTTACAAAATGACCCTGGGCTCTGTTGGTTCCTCTGTGCGACCCATTGTGATATTTCCGTTACTCCGTTTTAACGGAATCCTCAAATGCCGTGGTCGCAGTCCACGTCTCTGCAAATGTACCAAAGGATCACATAGAGAATGAGGAGAATGGCGAAGATGAAGAGCGCTACTAGGATGGCCTTGGTCACCGGAGAGATGAACGACTGCATGTCAGGAGCAGAGCCGGGCAGAGCGGCGTGGAGCTCCGCGTCCGTCCGTACTCAGTCTGCTATCTCTCTCGCTCTCCTCCTCTCCTCTCCGCCGCTCGGGTGGCAACTGTTGAGGATGGAGCCTGGGGCTTTGCCGTGCTCAAGTACACACATTTATAACCTGACGCGCATGCACACGCACTCCGCCACGCGAATAGCCTCTCTACCGGCGATCTGGGCGCGCAACGCGTGGGGGCTTCCCTTGCTAGAAGCGGCACAGCAGTGGGTTGTATTTCCCCGGATCCACACTCCCTCACTGCCTGTCGCACATCAGAAGACGCAGCGACAGGTGAGACTGGACTGATAACACCCGCGCTTCCTGCAAAGAGGACGGCAAAAAACAACAACAAAAAAAAAAACCACTTGAAATTCACCAATACAATACAATAAAATAAAAGCCCGCACAGATGTTTCCAGACACAGAATGGAAAAGTGCTAAGTTGCGCGTCGAGCTGCTGCACTTGTCGGCAAACAGGTTGATTAGTATTCCTCACAGCGGCGTGTGTGAGTGTGCATGCGTATGTGTGAGATGGCTGGGGATGACAGGCTATCATCTTATCACGACCCTTCGAACCCCCTTTTTGGCCAAGCTGTCAGTCCAAGGATTAAAATATAATTCTACATTTTTAATGTTTCCATTTCCACCTGATGCGCGCTTTATTCCTATTTTGTTGTATTACTAATCAGACTAGCCTAAGCGGTTGGTACCTCTTGCGCATCTTTTTATAAGTATTAATCCTATAATAAAAAGAAGATGGTGTGCAAATGCCATCAAAAACTCTTGTCACGTATACTCCATCTGGGCTAATTAAGACAAGGTCGTAACTGATAAGGCTAGAGGATATGCGCCTTTCCTCACATAAAATGCAAGATATCCATGTTTAAACCTATATGACCGATATACGTTAAGAAATTGGGAATCTGTTTTATTCAGAAAATACAAACACTACATGACAGAAGAGATGACTGCATTAAACAGCTTTTTAATGTGAGCAACAGTTAATAACCCCCGAAAAAGGTCGTGTATTTCTGCATGATATTCCTATCAGATCAGCACGGTTACCCACCACCCAAGCGATTCAAAGACATTAAATCACTGAAAAAAACGCGCGCTTATTTTAAGTTGCCATTTCCAAAAACGGTGCAAAACAATAATGGGATCAAAGTCTAGAAATAACTGGGCTATTAAGGCACCACTGATGAACATTTAGGCTGCAGAAGTAGGGCACCGAAAGGACGTTATCAGTTGCATGATGAGAAGCGCAGCGTTCACCTCGAATACCACCGTGCACCACTAGATGGCGACAGATTTAAATTTCCATGTCCTGATGATGGTGTATTTGATTATTCCGCACACCATCACTGCACTGTAGTCTTGGATAAGAATCATGACAGCTAAACGGGCTTAATACGCGTAGGTAAGGAGAAATAAAATTAAGTTTTCAATTATTTTCATATCAAATATGCACTACTCACGCGTATTATTGTTTGTCGTGGTAGAGAACAAGGTGGTTAGCGAACGTTAGCTTGTGAAGATTGTGGCCTATTTAGCAGAGTGGCTGAGGAAGCTAAAGCCAGTTATCACTGCTAATAAGTAAGGGAAAGTTGTGTTATGTGTCACATGTGTCGTTTAGTGTGAGCTTAAATTTGCTGTTGAATGCCACATATAAGGAGGTACCGCAGCTGTGAAGATGCAGTTGCAAACGAATGTTATATCAAAAGAGAAAGACCAATGTTTGCAGCACATTGCTAGTGGTTAGCTCACTAGCTTCAAATAGGCCGTAAATGCTCGCGAAGTAGGTGCGTGCATATTGGAACTTCCGTTCTGGGCCTTCAAAGTAAAGTCCCAAGTAATGCGCTTTATATTGCAAGGTTGCGGAAAAATACGAGTTCGTAAGGTTCAGACGAACTACACGGTTTGTTTTTCAATGAGAATGGTAAATACTTAAAAGCCTGTTCCGGTATTGTTTACTTAAAGCGTTGAGGAAGCTTTTAATTTGAAGACGCCGTCGCCTGTCTTCCTGTGTTTTCTCCTGCTGTTGTTATGAATGTTTTTGAGGTTTGACGAGCGTAGCAAGCTAGCTTGCTGCCTATCTAGCAAGCGACTTAAAGCCACTTAACCAAAGCGACACAGAGGGTGCGTTTGCATATGGTACTAAGTGGCTGTCAGCGTGTGTTAAAACCCTGACAGATATTTACCGGCCCCGCTGTTTCATTGTTCAGTTTGTGTTAGGAACAGCGTCAAACCTGTAACCAAAGTGCAGCGGTAGCTAGCTTTTTGCCAGGTTGAGCTCAAGTGATTGTCACGTTAGTCAGCCATCTAATCAGAGTGCAATGTAACTCCGAATATAGGCAACATCGGCGTAATACAACAGTATAATGTACTGTGGTGGCTGATTGAAATAATCTATTGTCGATATGTAGCTGTGTTTGTAAGAAATATGCCCATCTTATGGTTTGACGGTGTAGGTTTATCACTTTACATATACTTGTAGTTCTTTTAAAACATTAGAAAACAGAGTTTAGAGTTTAAATTAGAATATATACAATCATAACTGCTACACTTGCATGAAGGCAAAAAAAAAAAATGGAGGAAGAAGGGCAGAATGCAAGCGTACCTGTGCACGTCAAAACACAAGCATGTAAACATACAGACGGCGGCATGCTTCATGTGTTCACATGCTCAGAAACAAAAGAGACTGAAAATAAGCACAACAACTTTGAACTGAGACGCCAAACTGGCCAATTTCTACAGATCAGTAAAGATACAGCTTATCTGACTTGGTATGCAAGACTTTTCTTTATGTTTTTAGATTTAAATAGTCTATTGTTCGTGGTGTAGTGTAAATCTCTCTTCTCATGGTTTCATAGTTTCACTCCGCAATTGGTAATCGTTTTTTAAGGTAGTCAGACCCCCCCCCCCCCCCCCCCCCCACACACACACACACACACACACACACACACACACAATCGCTCTTCTTAATTAAATTTAAGGTCATAAGTCTTAAATTTGGTGAGGTAGCTGTTACTTTTAAAGAGCTTGGTTAGGCGTGTGTGTGTTTTTTAGTGAATAAAAACCAGTGGGATCTGAAATATAAGTGACTATGTAGAACAACAGTCTTGCTACCTATCCTCAGGCTTAATATGCAAAAATGTTTTTTAAATTAATGTTGATTTTTTTTGGATCATTCCTAATAGTGAACTTATGTCTGATTCATAAAAGATGCTTAACACAAAAAGCCTTGCTTAAGCAGTTTCTAATAAACCCATAAATAACTCATTTTCTTCTGTAATCTATGAAACTGAAGTCAGCTTAAATTACCAGCAGTGGCCTGGGGGGGTCTCCTATTACAAATATCAGAGATAGCCGTGAAGCAAAAGGTAAAAGCAAACTCTTTGGAGAACAGGCTCATAGTGGTGGTTAAGGAGAGTGAATCCAGACAACAAATATTATCCAGTGGACTAAATAGCAGGTGGAGGAATCCAAACAAGCAGCCTGGAAATGTGTTGCTCCTGCACTGACTGGGGTTGGATAGAATTACAGAACTGTAAAGTACACCAGTGGCTTTGAAAATCGCTCCAGTCTAGACTTAAGATTTGAGATATGGTCACTTCTGTGCGTGGTAAGGTTTTGTTTTTAACAGGTTTTTCTCTTTAAGCATACTTAAGATAGTTTTATATGTTTTATAAATGGGGCCCTAAAGCTCGTTTTGTTGGTTGCCAGGCTTCATACCACCATGGGTGTTTATTTTTATATTCTTTCATATTTATTTTTGGTTCAGTGTTGTGGGGATTGAAAAGAGCTGCCGATTTGCTCGTTTAAAAATAAGTAACCATGACTTATGGGAAACTCAGTTAAAAGTTACTCACATGCAGCAAGTTCTAATCTGTAAATAGACTTAATCCATGCTTGGGAAAGTGAGCTTTCATGGCCACAAAAGGGATCTTGGTGAATATAATTATTTCATCCATGATAGTTTACAGTTGTATTATGTCCCTTTTTGGGGGAGTTTAAATACATTTTACTCAATTTGTACATTTTACATTTGTTTTTTTGTAACAGTGTTTCTTTGTTTTTATGTTATAGACTCAAGAGCTACTCTATGTAAGATGAACACTGAGGACAAACTGGAAGGCATGCTGCTGAAGTGCAGCAGCGGAGGAATAGACGGAGGAGGGAGAGTTGGCCTGGGCAGCGGAGGAGGACTGGTGGTGATGACACTCGGGGAACGATCGCTGGCTAACCACCCTCTGCTGGCCGAGGATGACGACGACGAAGACGACGACGAGGACTTGACTCGAAGCTCGCTGGTCACTCACGACCTGGTCCCTCCAGAGCAGCTGATGATGCAGGAGGAGATGACGAAGAATAGCGGTGGAGGAGAAGAGGAGGGAGGAGCCGAGGTGGGAGAGCATTTCCCCCTAAAACTCACGAATAAGTTTCCCTGCTTGCTTCATATGCCAGTGAGTTCACGCTGGTTTAGAAGTAGATCAGATTTTGATAAGCTCATTTCTGTGAGTGCATCTACAGTCTCCACTTGATCAGAGTGAGTTTGCTTTTATGCATGTTATGTTGACTTAGCCTGACATTTTGGACTGTTCAGTGCAATCAGTTCTTTTAACACACAAAAAGTACTGTTAGGTAGCTGCTAATACTGCAAACTACTTTCACACTAGTTATTTTTAGGTGCCGGAATTTTCTTAAAAATTGGTCAAAAATAGGGAGCTCGCATTAGTGTTTTTTTTTTTTAATGAATGACAGAGATTTTAATTAAAAATTTTTCTGTCACTTTGACCCACTTGTTCATATTCAGAAACAATATATTTGTACACTCTGATCTTCTGAATCAGAATAAACTTGCAGCAAATGTGAACTTTAAAATAGTAATTTCTATTCTAAGAATACAGCATAATGAGGATAATCTGAATTCACCCTCAGGGACAGGTTTAAAGCATTGCTTCTCCTTGGGAACTTTAAGAGCTGGAATTGTATGGTTTGTGTTGTTTGTCTGTCTGTAGTTATTACAGACAGGTTATTTTCAGAAAGCTGAAAAGTGGCTACATACATTTTAAAATGCCAGTCAGAGGATTTGAAAACGCTGTCCCTGGCCACCTGGCAGATGTAATCTCTCAGCCTGTTCTGGGTTGTAAGGGGCTGAGGCTTCCCTCTGGTATTTTATGCCTGAGGCAACTGTATGGTGAGATGCCCTCACATTGGTTGATTATGCTCTGCTTGCCCAGTTGCACCTGTCTGACCTGGATAAAGTGGTAGCTGGCTGGGTGGCCCTTAAAGTAGGTCATGTGCGATATTCAATGTATAAATGACTATGGTCCTACTTTTACAGTTGAGCATCAAGCAGGAGCTGAAGTTGTCTGAGCCAGCGGTCTATATAAAGAAAGACAAAAAGGCAATCAAGGATCTGACAATGTGTCCCAAGAAGAAAAAAAGGAAGCAGCGATCACCAGCAAAGGTGAATTCCATCTGTGGAATTTTTATATTTTTAAAATACCAGGGACAGTTGTGAAAATTCAACACTACATGTGTTCTTTTTTACCCCCTTTGTAGATTCTCAGCATCAATGACGATGGCTCATTGGGCATACCAAACCCCAAGTGTCACGTCTGTACTCACTGTAATGCTGCGTTCAGAACCAACTACCATCTACAGAGGCATGTCTTCATTCACACTGGTATGAATAAGCCTGGCATGTATACAAATATGTAAAACATGTTGCTGTGAAATTAGATATGTTGACAGTAGGGGATCTTTTAGTCATCAAAGGAAGCTAAAAACTAAAAACAACTGGTTTTCATATATGTTACTGAAAACCTAGGTGAGAAGCCGTTTCAGTGCAGCCAGTGTGACATGCGCTTTATTCAGAAGTATCTTCTCCAGAGACATGAGAAGATCCACACCGGTGAGTAACAAACAGTTTGGCAAAATTCTCAATTGTTTTTATAATTATTGCTATGTTAGCCTGAACTTTTTTCTTTTTAAATACTTGTCTCTAGGTGAGAAGCCTTTTCGCTGTGATGAGTGTGGGATGAGGTTCATCCAGAAGTACCACATGGAGAGGCACAAAAGGACTCACAGTGGAGAGAAGCCCTACCAATGTGACTATTGTCACCAGGTACTATTCTTTTGATTGCTTGTAAATTAGTGTATTCGTAAGGTCCAAAATTGGTAAATATTTTAATTAGAAAGACATGAAAGGTCTATTTCAAACCTTTAGTTCAGTCATTTTGGTTCGGACAAAGGGGAATTAAAATGTGTTGGGGTTTTTTGGTCTTCTGTTCACTAACTTTGAAAAATAAATTTGTGAACTAGTTTTCTTTGGGTTATTTCACAACGACACTGTGGTCCCTTTAAATTGAGCTCTGGCTCATTTTCCCCCTTAGTGCGGTTCATTTGTGCAGATGTCAAGATGTGTGCTCGGCTGCTGACAACCACACCGAGACCCTTTGAAAAGGGTGGTCAGTGGGAGGTTCTAGCTAAATACAGTCTTGCATTCTGGGATGTGGCAGAGTACACAATCTGTACAATATTGCCATTTCCATGCAACCCAAACTTCAGGTGGATTTCAAAACAGTATAATAGGGATGACAACTTGACCATCTCGTATAATCATGGCTTTAGGAGTAAATTTTCAGTGTAGTCCAGTTGTCCAGACCTTAAGCACCTTCCTGTGTTTCTGGCCAGTAAGTGGACTGATCATTCTCACGTAGTTTTTAGTATCGCGTTTTAGTTAATTTGGAGCTAGCTTGTAATTTTCTTTGAAAAGAAAGCAGAATATGTGAACATATCAAACTCATCAGTTGAACAGATGAACTACAAGTGTGAAGCTCTCCTGTGTGTGGATGTATTTGTGTATTTGAATAGTTTGTGGTACAGTGGTTGGCTGTAATATAAAACATGTACGAATATGTGTTGAAAAAGGATGAGGATTGTAAAGCGCTTTCAGTGGTCAGTAAGACTATAAATGCACTGTGTAAACGCCACCCTATTTCAAGAAAACACAGGTAGAGACAGGATGATCTTCTGTCTTTTATTTTGACTCTGTGAACTGACTTATCACAAAAGAATACAAACACTAAATATTGCAGTGTAAACTGTCATTGATTGCTTAGTCAGGCTAAAATTATTTGCTGACATGTTAACAATTTGCTTATAATGATAGGAATGCCTGCTAAACAGTTATTACACAAGATATTTTTTAAGTAGTTCAGCTTCTGTGAATTTGTTGAGTGCATTAAACCTCTAAATACTGTGTTTAAGACCTTTAGACTAAAAAGAGTCTGCTTAAAACTTAGTCTGGTTAAATGGTGTTTTTGGCATTCAGCTTTTTTTGCCGTCCTAAAAAGATTGTGTGATTAAAAACACATTTGGTGTGAAAACACTGTCACTAGTGCTCATATTAAAGATCGTTATGGCTGTAGAGAGTAGACAGGAAGAGTAAAATTGTGAACTCAATATTAGAGCCAGTAATGAAGGTTCATGTATAAAATAAATGCATTGTGTCCTCTTTCTGCAGTACTTTTCCAGAACAGACCGGGTTTTAAAGCACAGAAGAATGTGTCACGAGAACAGAGAGCGAAAGGCGAACAAGACTGCCGGTAAAGTCGGACCTTTACGTGAAGCAGACTCTTTAGGGCCCCCCTTTGTTGCCAAAGAGTGCTCACTGCCCAAGAAAAAGCGCCAAAAGTGTACAGACAAGAGTTCAGGAGCTTCCACTACTGCCCAGACAGAAGGGCACACTTTTACCGTGGTAGAAACAGAAGAGAAAGAGGAGCAAAAGGGAAGTCTTTCTCTATATGCTGTGTCCTCCAAAGTCAAACATGAGTACGTGATTGCTGACTACTCTGTGGACCTTCCTGAAGAAACGGCTAACCAACACCAAGATGGCGACGTCTCTTCGGAAGAAACAACTTCTCCTAAGCTACTTCTGAAGAAAGTCCGCAAGCGGAGTCTTAAGCAGTCGACTGAACAAACTCCTCCTTGCTTGTCCACTTTACCCTCCTTTGAGGAAAATACTAAGGTGGCACAGTACACCTTTGAGATCGTGGACAAGCAAGGCCTCTTAGACGTAGAAGGCAACAGTGAACTCGAATCAGTTGAAACTCTTCAAGGAGGACAAACAAAACCAGCAGCCAGCAGCACAAACTATGACGACGCGATGCAGTTTCTCAAGAAGAAACGTTACCTTCAAGCTGCAATGGCTAACAACAGCCGGGATTATGGCCTGAACACGAGCAGCATCTCCTCTCAGCCACCTGTTACACAAACTGTGGTGTCAACAGTCATCGACGAAACTGTTCCCGCCACCATCCTGGAGCCCCAACCCATGAACACAGAGATTAAGACTCCTAATGACAAGAACGTTTTGCCTGATGAGGTTCTTCAGACACTGTTGGACCACTACTCCAACAAAGCCAATGGGCAATCAGACATTTCTTTCAGTGTGGCTGACACAGAGGTTACCTCAAGTATATCTATCAATTCCTCCGATGTTTCTGACAGCAGTCCGGTCGAGAGCCTCGGAACATCCAGCGCTCAGGCTCAGCCGCCTGCAGAGAAAGTGAGTCTCTTGCAAGAATACTCCAAATTTCTCCAGCAAGCACTGGAGAGGACCAGCCAGAATGACAGCTACCTGACCAGCCAGAGCCTCAGCTTGGTCTCTGAAAACCCCACATTAGCTGGACAGCCTCTGTTCTCCACAGAGAAACAGTTTCCTTCCCCCAGCAGGTTCAAATCAGGGATGAGCTCTCCACTAAGGTCCACCTTAGAGAAACCTCACTATGGGTTGCTGGTCGGGGACTCCCAGCACTCGTTTTCCTTTTCAGGCGACGAGACCACCCCTCCCTCTGCGGTGTCCCCAGCTGAGGAGGACTTTCTGGAGCAGGTCTCTCCCTCAAAAAAGACTGACTCTTCACAAGGGATACTACAGACTTTTCAAATAAGCTCCTTTGAACAGAACTTCAAATCTCATTTCCAGACGTCAAGATCTGCAGCCTCCTCGCAGTTTACGGTTGCCAACGGACAAGTGAGTGTTCGAGGACACAGCACAGAATTCTCAGAGTTCCCTTTAGTCCGAGTCACTGAGACCAGGTCTCAACTGAACTCATCCCCTGACGTTTCGACCAGTGAATCGTTTGGCTGAAGAAATGGAGGCGGGAGCGTTCATTTCTGTTCATCATTTCTGTGGCACTTTATCTCGTCTTTCCTGTGTTTTTGCCAAATCAAATCCCACTGCAAACGAGGGGTCTTTCTTTTTTTTTTTTCTTTGTGTAAAGCAGTTATAATTTTGTGCTTTTACGTTCTAAACTTCTTAAACAGGAATACTGAAAAATGATAATCATACTATAATTAGCATTTCCCCTTTTGGAAAAAAAAGTCAAACTTCCTCCAGAATGTACATTATGAGATTAAGCGACCAAAGTGTAATGCAGGAGATTAATATTCTCTAATTCCATTGCCATTATTTTTAATGTTTGTGTCAATCATTTCGCCTTGCACACTTAATGATCAAGTCACACTTGCTGCTTAATGCAATATTTAGACTTATTAAAATGTAGTTTGCATCTATGTACACTCCCCCCCTGAGTTTTTCAACTGCACTGGGGGTTGGGTGGTCCAGAGCTGCACAAACCTACTGTTATTGATACTTTTTCCTTATGAACGCGTTAATTTTTTTCTGCATTTTAAGATCAAAATCTGTGATTCAACTGAGCTGAAATGAATTGGGGCCACATAAGTTTGTCCTGCTCCCGAAAATCATGCCCCCTTCCCCCATGGCGGTGGTAGATTTTTTATTTTTATTTTTAAATTTTTTTTTTCTTTAGCTACTTCCCCTTGCTCTTTGTTTAGTTTTTTTTTTTTTCAAAAAATATCACTTAGAGCTTTTTTCTTTATTCCAGCGGTTAAACTGTCTGCTGACATGCACGGTGACACAAAGTTGTGTTACCTATTAAGGGTATTTCTGCAGGATTTATATTAGATTATCACAGTATGTATAAGTCACCTTTTGTTAAGAGATTAGTGAGACTAACCACTTAATTAGTTTAAGTAGAAATTCAAACTAATTCACTTTTTCTTTGATCACTTAAAAGGACGTAGCTCTTATAAGGGAAACAAAATTAAAGTTCATGATCCCTTGTATTCAAGAGAATTTGATTAAAATGAGCAGTTTATTATTTTGTGCCTTCTTTTAAAAGAAATATTACAATTTCCTTTAGTCATTCCTGCACAATGCATTTATTTCTACTTGGTCTACGCTCTAAGGCTACTAGTTCCACTTGCACAATACAGACAAGCACATAAGCTATCAACGTGTTCACACCTTCATACGTTAAGAACTGGGAGCTTTATTTAGTTTTGCCTTTTAATATTGTATCATTTTTAAAATTTTAGCAGAGACATATCACCAAACTTAATAATCAACATATTATCTGTAGTTGGGAGGAGTTAACGTGTCATGGACTCTTCTCCAGTATGTGTGTAAGTGCAGATTTAAGTTGTAGATGTCTAGATTTGCTGATAATCACTGATTTGCTGGAATTTTCTGGTCAGACTCATCTGTACGGGCCTTGTTGAAACCATGCAGTTTTAAACGGGAGTGGCAATGAGTTAAGTCTTTTCTGTACTTCATTACACTGTTGATTGTCGTTCACGTCTTAGGTGCTGTTGTGTTTTAAACGATGTTTTTATCTTTTTGTTTTTCGTGCACCATCCAGTTTAGGTTTGAAACCAATGTTGAGCTCCCTCTTGTTACAGCTCCTCTGACAATCAGGGACACACAGAACCACGTTAATCATCGAATACTTTATTCTTCCTCAATGATCATTCCCTCTAGAATGTATAGAAGATATCCTGCTGTAAATACATTGTATATTTTTCTGCTCTGAGAAGTACTGTTAGGTTTTATTTTGGTCCATAGAAAGACAAGGCGTGTGCAAGAAACACTTTTGTCAGTGAATTTGGCAAGTTAATTTGTTTTTAAGCATTTATGAGATTCAATAATGAAACGGTCCATCTTCCTGAGAAAATGTGGCTTTTGCAGAAATCTCACCACTGTATCAATATTATATTTTCAGTTTAATTGGTGATTGATCAAAGTGAATTTAGATTTTTGTGAATGTTCATTATGATGGGTTTTACTGTATAACTATCATCCGTATGATATATTAAAATAAAATTCCTTTTCAACATATTTAAAGTAAAAGAAAAATGTTCTTAGTGGTGGAAACAATCCTCCATTCAACAGCTATTAGAGTCTTGAATTTGTGTTAAAATATCACTTAAAAGTTATAGTGTGGTTGAAATACCTCACTAGCTGCCCTTTTTTTTTATTGTAAGCAATCTTTAAAAGCACAGTGCAGATAGAAACGATGGTTTTGTAAATTGTACCCCATTTAGTTCTTTGAATTTTGAATTCAGTTAAAGTGGAAACCTATTGGAAATTAATGAAGTATGTGAGCAGTACGATGAATATTTCCTTTTAATTAACTATTGTCAGTAACCTGACCATAAGTGTCCTTGTATAAGCTAGAGAAATCTCATTTGTGTGCGTGTGTGTGTAAAAAGATCAGAATTTTTTGATAAAAAGCTATTTTTGAAACGTCATTTAAAGCACTGATATGTACAGTATATCATATGCAGTCATTCTCGCTACCCTCATTTATCTCTGTATAAGTCGTTTGTGTCAAGGTTTTTCAAATACAGATGGGAATCTGAATTTTTTCTTGATTTTAAAGAATTTGCTTCACAGTAAGGTTGGTCTTACGTTAGGTTTATTCTGCATGGTCTCTGACTTGTTGGGTCAAGTGAACTTGTTTTATGGATAATGTGCAGCTTTAATTGTAGCTGATTATTTTCAGTCAAGTAACCCATATGATTAGACTTTTGCAATATACAATGATTTGTAAGCAATCTGATTAAATTGTTTTTGATTGTTGTGTGTCATGTCCTTATAAATAAATAATTCACAGCATGTGATCTTGAATTGTTGTTGATGTACAGAAGGCGTGCAGCTGCTGGTGAAACTGAGTGTGGGTGGGTAAATGTGTTTCCTGATGGAAAGCAGCCAGAAAAGACATAAAGAGACGCTGGGATATTTGTTATGGTGTGTTAGGGGAATTCGAGGAGAGTAGAAGTGCTGCAGAAGACTGTTTTCATAGGTACACACTCGTACAGTAACAAATTGAAAATCTTTCACCATATCGTGGTACACGGTGACATCTTTTTCAGCAGGTCCAAAACCTGAAGATATATTCAGTTTACAGTGATATAAAAGTGCAAAGCATAGAATTCTCACATTGGAGAGCGTTGGAAAAAGAACTATTGATGTTTATCATGGAAAAATATGTGGAAAAACGTATATCAGAATAGTTCTGTCTTAATTTTCTGACAAATTGTTTGTCCAAGCACTGTAAGCCTTTATCACAGCCCAGTAAACCATGAAGGTCAACCAGCATGCACAACAACAGGACCTCCCCCCACGTGAAATGCAGCTATCAAATACACCTGTGCTTTCCTGCTACCATACAGTACTGTGGGAAAACCTTCAGCTACCCCTCGTTTCGTTATATTTTGCTTCCATTTAGCCTGTCTTTCTTGTAATTTTCAAAGTGGTGCTTAGCGGGTGTTCTCCAGACTTTCTGAAAGTTCTCTGGACATAGCTACTTTTATACTCCATTTAAGCATAAAAAGGCACCTAACTCAAAGGATGAACCAGTGTTGTGTCTACATATAACAGAAAACTGAGCAAAGAAGTGTGTTTAAATTGTATCTTTAGGCACTTTAATATTAGCAGTCTGTCCCAAAAACATTTCTTTAGCCAAATCTACTAAAAATTCCAAAGCTAACACAGACTGGCATAAAAAACAGCAAGAATGTTATTCCTTAAAATATGGGATCCAGAAAAGATCTGAGAGATTCATCTGGTCCTTCAGCTGAATTTCAGTTGTTCACTGAGGCCTCATTAGACATTGTCTCGGTGGAAGGGTGGCTGTCAGGAAGCCATTTTTTAAGGAAGAGGAAACTGGAGGGAAAGGGTGATGTAGTGATGAACCCAGATATTCAATTTTTGGTTCAAATCATCGTCAGTATGTGTAGAGAGGGCCAGGAGAAAGGTAAAACAGTGTATATAGCCATCTGTGAGATGCAATGGAGTCTCTGCCCTGGCAGGATTTCAGCCAGTGGGGACTTTGATCTTTAATGGGAAACAGCTGATTGGTAATGACTTTATTTCTCCCCATGGCAATGATCCAAAACACAGTCTTCATGCAGTAAAAGAATACTTGGATGACAAATCGGACTGGCCTCCCCAGATCACAGAGAGCCAGCCAACATCCAAAAAGAGCGTTTAATGTCCTTTAAGAATCCCAGAGAACTATTCCTGAAGGTTATTAAAAGAAATTACAACAAAGTTTGCCTAAGAGAGTTCAGACTGTGATGAAAGATGGCCATACGAATGCTTGACATAATCATCTTAAACCATGAAAATGTAAAATATTTTCATTGTGTCATTGTACAGGGAAACTCTTCCAAGTTTTGTTTTCTCTTATTTATTTTTGAATATGTGTTTAGACTGATGTGTTTTCTGATCTGATTGGTAACTTATTGACTGGAATAAGACTCAGAAAACATCCCCACAGTCTGAAATTCAAACGTGTTTCAGGAGATAACTCCATAAAAAGGATCAAATCCATGTGGATGCATTTTTCAGCTAATCATTACTAGCATTACCTGCTGCAGGACTTGCCAAAGCAAACACGAGATCCTTGTGCAAATGCTCCAACACATCCCGGAAAGGTGAGCAGTAACCGCATGCCTAAGTTGCCTGCTGGCAGCTGACGTATCCATATGACGAACACGTTGTAATACTGAGAGGATTTAAAGAAAAGTGGGAAAGTGGAATGGATTTATTTTTTCTTTAATTTTTTTTAAAAAAATTACAAGCAGTGGATGAAATGAGATTGTGAAAGGTAAGGTGTCGCTGAGTTAATCTAGCTAAGAAGCTGTTTGAAAGAAGACCGCCACTCACACCAAACTCTATTGAGAAAACTGCCAATTTTAAGACTAGAGCACATCTCGGTTTTCATAATAGCGTATATCACCAGGAGCTTATTTTGAAATTGATTACACTTTCTGATATGCTGTCTTTCCATAAACATAACTATTATTATTGTTATCATTCATTTCAACATTTTGTTTTCTAACTAGGAAACAATGAATTCACATGTTTGTTATAATTCTTCGTTTATTTATCTGGAAACAGAAGCCTCTGAGGTAAAAGCAGTGACGCTAACAACTATTTACTGTTTGTCGCATCGCAGAGGAGCACACCCTGCTGCATCCGGGTGTCCTCAAGCTGCACCTGTTGCTGTTTAACCAGGATAAACAGTGCTATTCTTTCCAAGACGACCGCTACAAATGCCTGTGCTACCGTACTGTTTACTATGCCAGGAAAAACCGTATGCTCCAATCATAGATTATATATCTTCACAATTATGAGTGTTTTGAATGCGGCATGCCAGAATTACCCAGTAACATGCTGTGATATTTCAATTTCTCAGTAGTTTCTGAACGGAAATGTATTAGACTAGTAAGTAAGAAGGAAATCCAGTTTTATCGGATGTTTTAATTGGGATATTATACATGTTTTATCCTCTTGTTCCTTTTTCTAGTTTTAAGTCTACACTTTACGATATTTGCCGAGGAAAAATCATATACATGATAGTACATCATTATGTAAAATATGTTTGGGGGTATTTTCTGTTTTGGGGTGGGTTTTTTGTCTTCTCGGGGGATTACTTCTTATAAAATACACGTTTAAGACAGAAATGTTCTAAAATATAAATTAGAATATTTGACAAATCTGTCACAAACGTGTTTAAATTTAAAAATATATTGTTATTTAAAACAAACTGTATTGACTTTTTTTTCCCCCAGATGTGAAATCCTGGACTTTAAACCTCTAAAACTTTTTTTTTATTCAGGAGTGCCGGAATTAACTGTAAGTTGGAAAATGTGTAAATTTCAAAACTCATAGATAACATTATAATGATATTTTAGCTTTAAAAATGCGGATGGGTTAACCATTATTGAAACTGATTTTTGGTTCTTACCAATATTGTTATTTTAGGGCACAGACCTTACATTGGGTGGTGATGTAATACATTTGTTAAGCACTGTACCTCTAGCATCCAGTAACTCACTAAGACCATTATTTTGGTACACTATATGTCTTTTAGAGTGAATCTAGTAGTATGTGATCAAAAAAGTTTTTCAATATTAAAATGCAGATTTTATTTTGTTGTTTTACATCCAGCCTGTAAATATAAACACTGTAACTCTCCAGGCTGCAATGGAAACCCTGCCAGCCGGTTGGACGGTGTACACCTGTGAGCAGGAAAGAGCTGAGACAGGCCTGTTGAAGGGAGAATCTGACGATACTAAAGAAAACACACATATTCAAGATCTGTTCCATGAAGATGCAAAGGCAAGATGTTCAGTGTGTCAGCTCAAATGAAACAATTTGTAGGATCATTGCAGGCTGTTGTTAAAGTGACTTCAGATAAGCCAGTGCTGCTACGGTTGTATTTCTGTGTTTAGGGTTTTCAGCAGTCTAATCAGCCATGGTGGAGGATCAAAGTATTTGTGTGGGAGCCGGTGCTTTTTGGCACCTGGGATGGAGTCTTCACCACCTGCATGATCAACATCTTTGGTGTGGTTCTGTTCCTGCGTACTGGCTACCTGGTGGTTAGTAAACAGACTATCTTTCACTTTGTGTATTGTAGGTAATAGAACAGCTAATCCACTTTAAACTCTCCCCACGCTAATAAGATGCTAAAAGGCTGAATTCTGTTAAATGCAACTGCCATAATGGGGCTTTAAATATGAGTCTAATAACCGTGCATGGTGGATACACTGCAGTGGAAAAGGATTTTTCACTTCTTGATTTCTTATTTTTGCGTATTTGTCATGTTTAAATATTTCAGCTCAGACAAAATACCTGAGTGAAAATAAATGCAGTTCTTAAGGGGTTTTTTTTTTCTCATGGCCCTTTGTGATAAAGTAATTTCCCCTGAACCTAATAACTGGTTGTGCCATCCTTGGTAGTAAGAACTGCAATCAAGCATTTGTGATAACTGGCAATAAGTCTTTGGCATCACTACGGAGGAATTGTTGTCTCAACCTTCTTTTCAGAATTGTTTTAATTCAGCTGCCCTGAATGTTTTTAAGCATGACCGGACATGCTAAAGCATGAATCACACTACCACCACTATGTTTGACTGTTGGTATGAGGTTGTTTTTATGAAATGCTGTGTTAGTTTGACATCAGATGTAACAAGACTCAAGCCTTCCAAAGAGTTCTGCTTTTGTCTTATCAGTCTGCAGAATATTTTTCCATCAAGATTTTTTCTGGCAAACATGAGACGAGCCTTTGTGGTTTTATTGCTCGGCTGTGGTTGGAACTCTTCATGGATGCCATTTTTTTGTCCAGTTTTTTTCTTATTGACCTTAAGGCAAGTGAGGCAGTTCTTTAAATGTTGTTCTGGGTTCTTTTGTGACCTCCTGGATGAGTCATCGATGCTCTCTTAGACTAATTGTGGTCAGCTGGCCCCTCCTGACACGGTATACCACTGATCCAAATATCCAAATTATCTGTCTTTGTGGATAATTGCTTTGACCGTGGTTCCACTGGAGTCCCAAATTCACTCCATAAGACTTACAGATGTCAGTGACTTGGTTTCTCATCCGTTCTTGAGTTTCTTTAGATTATGCCAAAGATTATGCCATAATGCTCCAGTTACCACTGTCTATTATTACAATTTATCTGATTATGTGAAACATTTAAGTGTGACAAATATGCAAAACACAGACATCTAGGAAGAGGGTAAATACTTTTCACAGCACTGTAGTAGCAGACTAAAGAATCAAAAATAAATCACTAATCACCAAATTTTATTTTGTATGTTTTCATTTTTATACTTCATAATGGCTTAGCTTCATGTTTGGCTTTCTGCTTTCAGCTCATCCACATTTTTTAGCACAGTTTTTAGCTTCACATATAGTTAAGTATGTGTCATCATGACAATTGATCCAGAACACTGTAATAGCCATGTGTCATCACAGGACACAGCTACAAAGAGACCCAGTGATTGTAATTGCTACATCCGTTTGGCCTTAGCTTGACAGCTAAAATATAGTTTGCTGTGTGGAAAACAGGGTTTCTCTTTCAGAGAGAGACGCATCTTATCAGAAATGTCTGAGCAAATAAAATAAAAAAGTGCTGGTCCACCACACCTGTATAGCATCTGCATGTCTCTTTTTTTCTATTAGATAGAACACTGTAAACAAATACAAGGAGGAGAAAAGAGGAGTGATTAAAAAAATGCGAGAGAATGGAGAAAAAGGTGAAGATAGGATTATTTAAATGAACTGAATACAAAGCACTAAATAGAGCAGGATGTCATGTGCAGAAGATGTGTACAATACAGGTGGTATATTGGCCCAAATATATCCAGTTCACAACTGCAGATGCATATTGTGGTGTAGTTTGTGCAGTGATCACTCTGTACTTTGGATCTTTGCTGTTTCCTAACATTATCCAGGGGAACACAGGAGTGCTGCTTGGGATGGTTCTCGTCTCCATGGTTGTGTTGGTTGCTTTAGTGACAGTTATGTCAGGAATCGGAGTGTCTGAACACTGTGGTGTTGGGAGTGGAGGAATCTACTCCATGATCTCTACCATCCTAGGGGGAAGGGTCGGGGGCACTGTTGGCCTCCTTTATGTGTTTGGGCAGGTGAGTGAATTTGAACACCGCTAAAATTGTTTGTTTGTAATATTTTATCCCTTAAGAAAATCATGGAATGCACAAACTGAATTTCCTTCCTTCTATCTCGTGTCACTATTAATGCTCTCTACCACTCTGCAGTGCGTCGCTGGGGCGATGTACATCACGGGGTTCTCCGAGTCAGTGGCAGAACTGCTGGGTCTTCAGACTCAGTGGGCGGTGCGCTGCATGTCAGCAGCAGTGCTGCTAGGTCTGCTTGGAATCAACTTGGCTGGTGTCAAGTGGATTGTCAGACTTCAGCTGCTCCTCCTGGCTGTTCTGGCCATCTCTACCCTGGACTTTGTCATTGGCACATTCACACACCTTGACCCAGGTAACGACCATCACTATGATCACAATGAAAACGAGAAACAAAAAAAAAAAATCAACAATCGGTTACTGTATCAAAGACGAGAGACAGTCACAGTTATAGTTACATTTTTTCATGCATTAGGAAGATTTGTGGGGAAATTAGGAGGCTAGGATGGCTGCTGGTCAGAAGTAGTTGTAGTAGAGTCTTTAATTTGACTCTTAATTTCTGTAAAAATCCAACATGGCTTTTAAGTATTGTTTGCTGTTAATAAACACCTACTATATATTATTTGATACATACAATTTTTTGTGAGTTTTTGAGACTCACACATCATCAGTGTCATTTTTCCCCCACCCTGAAAAACACCTAAATAAATTGCACAATACATTTTTAAGCAATTTGAAAAAATGCCAGATGCAAGAAATACGATGCAGACTAAAATTCATGTGTGGAAATTAAAATTTAATTAATTATTTTTAAAGAAATTTGTTAAATAGCTCAATAAATTCAGAATCTTCTGGCAATTATGTGATGATTCAGGCTTTAACGATTTAAAAAGCATTAGTACACAAAACATCTAGAGCTGAAGCTGCCTTTGACTCTTTGAGTGTTTGAGTACCAGATCTCTAGTAGAATATAAAGAGAAGCCTGGCTCATGTTGCAGGGAACACTAGTGTTTCCAGTTATAAATACCAATACTTTATTATGCTGTATTTGTTTTTTTTATATCTCATTCTCCATAACTCACTATTAAATTTTCGGGTGGGGGGGGGCTTCCAAAGAGGCAGTGTGATGGAAGGAGTGTGGGGACCTGTTGTGACCTGTTTTAGTCAGTAGGTGTAGCTGCAGTATCACTTATTTTACTTATTTTACAGACATTCCTCTGTCCATTAACCTGTTTATTTCTTTCACACTTTAGCGATTAGTTAATGTGTATTGTTATGTTGTATTTTGAGATTTTAAGTTTGAAAATTATTTTATTTTTTTTTAAAATTTTATTATTATTGTGAGTATTTTTTTTGGGTGCGGTGGAGGGGGTCTTTTTTTGTTGACCTCCAGGAAGTCCTTCCCTACATTTCCTGTTCTCACTGATTATCAACTTCCTGCCGAGTAGGAAGAAAAAAGTGTTCCAGGAGTCAAATCAGTCTTTGAACAACACATTTCACACAAGACCCAAGAGTTCTCACACACATGATAAAACATTCATACATTTTTTTTAAAACGGAGAGATTACCTTACCTGTCTTGTTAGTTTTTGTTGGATTTAGCTCGACTACTTCAGGTGAAATTAAAACCAGACTGCCTACTGCTCTACACCTCCCAACTCCCAGTCTTGTTTAAAGCACACTTGGTAGAGACCAGTTTTCAGCCCTTAAGATCTGTACAACCAGCCATAATGACCACTCCAGATTTTTCCAATTAAGAACAGCTCTGTGTGTGTTTTGGTGACCTAATGGTTGGCAGAGGACCAGCAGGTCTCCATGCTAGCTGAAACGGCCCAGATTAACATGAACTCACTGAACACTGAGACACATCCTGGAGGAAAGGAGCCACCGCCAAAAGCATGTGGTCATAGTTTGATAACATGTCCCCAATTTTCACACGCCATTGTGTAGCTCTATCACAGCTTAGGCATGTCTGGTTAACCACATATTCCATCAAAATTTCACTTTCTATGGACATGATTGCTAATATGTTTGGCAGATATTGCCTTTGTAAACACTGCAATCAGTATTTTCCACCTCTGTCATGATCAGAAAGGCAAAGTTTAGAGTTCACAGATTGTCAATCAGCAGAAAATTATCAGAGTTGGTTTTAATTCTAATGTTTTGCCCCTGTAATGTTTCACTAACTTTTATCCCTAGCAACAAAAATCACAGATATCGGGTGCTGGTTTTGACCATCCCATGTTAATTGTTAGTAATCATTAAGATGAATTTAGGAGTGTTTCTATCTATTTAAGTATCTATGTATATGAACTCTTGACTTACAAACCTGGTTTTCCCATTCACTAAAATGTCAAAGAAGTGGATTGCAGCAAGTCCTTTTTGCAGCACTGTAAGAGTTGGAGTTAAAATTAAAGTGTTGCATAACTGCAGCATGTAACATAGTCCTGAATAGTTCACAAGTCTGTAAGCACAGTAAATTATTCTGACAGTAATGCCGCCCATGTATTGTCTCTGCAACCAAACAGTTTAACCACAAACCCTTCTGATTGTGGTGCATCGTTGAATTACGCTCTGACACGCCTCACCCTGTCCTTATACTTGAAGTCTATTCCCCACAGAAAAGGAAGCCATAATGTGCTCCTTGGGTCTGGGGTTTAGGGTGTTAACCAGACTCACCCACATTTTTGGAAAATGACAAAGAGAGAGAGCCGGAACTGAGATCTGAAGCCTGCTGCTACTCCAGAGACCACCACATCATCTCTCCCTGTGATTCTTACTATAATATATAGTTCTCGATCATCCCAGCAGGACCTGCTCCACCTCTGTAAACTCACAGCCTATGCAACATGCACGGCAATTTATGTAAGTTAGTGTGGGAGTGTAAGAGGTCATTCAGACTGAGGGAGAGGCCTCAGATGTTCATGTAATCTAACTACACATTCAGAGGCATGGTCAACTCAGAAATGAGCCCCACTCTGCCTGTAAACTTGCTCGATACAGAATAAGTAAACTGGAATGAAGACATTCTTGCCTTAGCTCGAGCTGGAAACATAGTAAATAGGCTTATAAAGCTCTACATCTCTACAAAATGCTATGGATCAAATTGAAGACGTGTCAGGACAAGTCTTCTAGCTGTGTATTAAAAAGGATCATCAGCCTAGTGGGAGTTACCTTCTGATTCAGTATTATATATTGGATTCTTTGATGAATAAATATTAGGGGTAATAATGGTTGCTTGCACGCTGCAAACTTCATAAAGAAGGCCCCACATAAAGCAAGCAATTGTCAGTTAATTATGGTAATTAGATGACTTTACTTATTTGGAAACTGGGAAAGCTCCGGGGTATAATATTATATATTGTGGACATCTATGGTCAAAGTTTCCTTCATACACATTTTAATATTACTTTTACAATACTATGCAAAAGTCTTGAGTCACCTCTTATGGATAAATAGGTGGATGGTCTTGAGAAATAGTTCTCCAGGTTTTCTAAAGGACTTTTAGAGTTGTTCTTCAGAGATTTCATTGCTTTTTCACTCATATTTAGTCCAGTCCTTGTGCCTGACCATTTTCAGAAGAATGATTTAACACGGACCTTGTAGGAAATGGTTTCAGTGGAAGGGCAGCTGTCAAGAAGTCATTTTTTTTAAGGAAAAGAAATGGGGAAGAAAGGCTAAAGTATGCAAAATTGCACAAGAACTGGATTTATGTGTGAAACCTGAATCCAAATGTGAAATCTTTGGTTGAAATCATTATGGGCATGTTTAGAGGAGGTCAGGAGAGATGAACAACAGTGAGTGTCTACAGCCATCTGTAAAACACAGAGGAGGCTCTGTCATAGTTTGGGTCTTTATTTCAGGTAGTGGTGTTGAGGATCTTGTAGATACATAATTAACGAATGCAGAAAAGTACCATCAGATTTTTAATCCACCTTGTTTAAAGCTTCTGCTTGGCAACTTCATTTTTCAACTTGGCAGTGATGTCAAACACACTGCCAATACAACCAAAGTAATACACAATAGCTTAAACGGGGTCTCTGGATCTTGTGTGAAGTCTTATGATGCTGTAGTTTTTAAAATGAGGTGTAGTTTGCAACAGGGCCCAACACAAATCTTTGCCAGCCTATCATTGTTATTATTCCTAGAGAAAATGAGGGGGACAATTTGCAGTGAATGTAGTACATATAAGGATTTTATATTAAAGTGTAATGAATATGTGAATGCTCCAAAATAAGTACTTGGAGGGCTTAGCCGTGAGAGCTGGCAGAGTTGAGCCCACTTGGATGTTGGACTATGATGTTGTAATATGGGTGGGGTGCTCTTGATGCAGTTTGACACTGGCTGCCCTGGGTTTGTTAGATCATGATTGTTTGGATAGAGGGCGATCCTAGTGGGTCACAAAGTGAACGGGAGTTTTTTTGAGCTTTTTTGACCTCATTAAACGCATATGCTAGAGATCATACAAAGCTGGAACAGAGAGTGTATCCAGGCCTTTTCTTTTGGCCTTTTGTAAAACAAAAGGAAAAAAATGAGCATTCTTTTCTCTCTCTCTCTCTCTCTCTATGTGTCTCTCCCTTTCTCGCTCTTTCCTCCCGCTCTCTGTCTCCCTCTCTTGCTCACTTTCATTCTTTCTCCCAAACTTGGAAGCTGCTGAGCTTCTGAAAAGGGTGGTAACTTCCTTTTGGATAAACATGTCATTAATCTGAGAGAACACATTCTTTCCCATCACAAGATAACCAAGTGGGAAATGTCCGGTTTTGTAACATAGGCGGGTCCTTCAGACTGCGTAGTTTAAATGGCCGCCTTCACACATTCAGCAAACTGACTTGACCTAGAGCCATCCCGGCATGTCTTTAGTCTGTAGATTTGAAAGGTGTCACCGGTTGTTGTTGCCATTTATTTTGACTGAAATAGTCTTTGCAGCATTTATTTACTTGGTGTTATATTGCTGACTATGATGCAGATGTTGTTGAGTTATGGAGGGCTCTAATGACTATGCAAATGTAATGCTGTACTGTTCAAACACCTGGTATATAGTGCTCTATGTTTTTCCTTTCTGTATGCTGTGATTTCTTATACAGTTGATCTAATTTTCTGCACAAAGCGTAGCTTAAAAAGTCAGGAAAAGGCCAAATATGGTGACTGCTTATTAATCTAAGAACACATTATTAATCAATTTGTGAGAGTGATGTGTTTTAAAATCATAAGGTAACTGCTGGCCCTATGTAGCAGCTACAAACATTTTAAGATTGGACTAGACTGCAACATTTGTTGGGTTGTATTAATAGGAAGTGAGAAATAGAAACTCATTATTATAATTGTTCCTTAAACATGTTAAAGAAGCAAATGTTTCTTCTTCTTTATTTTTAAACCAGTTTATTCCCTTATGCACTAGAGAAATAACCATCATTATTCCAGGTGGAGCTGCTATGTGTCCCTTCATGAACTGATTTCAAACAGATGAATGTTACATAAGATAGAAAGTTAAGTATTCTTGTTATGAGTCATTTACAGCCTGGGATTGTGTGTTTGTTGCCTAAAATATTGATACATAAGTAAAAGCCTAACAGAGAGCTGACTTTTCATGTCTAATTTTCATACCTCTAGCTAATGGAGTTTGCATAGTTTCTTCCTCCTTCATCATCATTTAATGTTCACAACTGTTTACTCAGTGAAGAAATGCTGGTAATTCTCACATGCCTTTCTGTATTGATGTGCTTTATGTGAGTTTGTCTCCACTTTCAGAGCACGGTTTCATTGGTTATTCAGCTGGGCTGCTCAGTAGCAACACTATGCCAGATTATACCACTGGGGAAAACTTCTTTACAGTATTTGGGGTTTTCTTCCCTGCTGCTACAGGTGAGTAGATCCTCAACAACTTCTTTTAGATTTCTGTATTTCACACAAAAAGAAAATCCCAGAATAGGAAAAGCATGCAAACATTCAAATCCTGCTTATCATTCTTTGCTTCATATGCAATGTAAAAATGAAGTTTGCGTTGACAAGCACCTTGTGTACATTTTGTGGTTTGCCCATCTTTGTGTGTGTTGTAGGGGTTATGGCAGGCTTCAACATGAGCTCAGACCTTCAGCGACCTGAGCACAACATCCCCGTGGGAACACTAGCAGCTGTCTTCACCTCGTACGACAACCCCCCAAATCCACTAAAACATACACATATCTATACAGTGCTGTCAAACAGTATTTACCCTCTGCACAAGTTCTTGTTTTTTCCATATCTATCAAATTCACATTTAAATGTTTCAGATCATCAAACAAAGTTTAACATTAGGCAAAAATAGCCTGAGTAAATATACATGCAGTTCAATCCTACCTGCCCTGTGTGAAAAAGTAATTTCCCAATAAACCCAGTAGTTGGTTGTGTCATCCTTAGTTGCAATAACTGCAATCAAGCATTTGTGATAACTGGCAGAACTTGCAGAACTGCTGTGATTCAACAACATTGGAGGGTTTTTGGGGTACAAATGGATTGTATAAGGTTATGTCAAAGCATTTCAATTGGATATAAGTCAAAACTTTGGGTAGACCTCTCCACAACTTTCATTTTTGTCTTGTGAGACATTAAGAAGGTGAACTTGCTGGTGTGTTTTGGATCATTGTCCTGCTGCCTAACACAAGTGTGTGTGCGCTTTAGTGCACGAACTGACGAACTGATGGCCGGACATTCTCCTTCAGGATTTTCTGGTAGAGAGCACAATTCATAGAGTGATGAACTAAAGAAGCCATCGAGGTCCTGAAACAACAAAGCAGCCCCAAACCATCACACTACCACCACCGTGTTTGGCTGTTGTTCATGGGAAAGGCGACTCAAACCTTCCAAAATATTATACTTTTGTTTTCATCACTCCACAGAAAATTTTCTCCAAAGTCTTGGAGATCATGATTTTTGGCAAATGTGAGACAAGCCTTTGTGTTCTATTTGGCCAGCAGTGGTGTTCTTATTGTTGAATCATAAACACTGACCATGACTAGGCGAGTGAGGCCTGAAGTTTTTTAGATGTTGTTCTGGGTTGTTTTATGACCACCTGGATGAGTCGTTGATGAGATCTCAGAGTAATTGTAGTAAGTCCGCCTCTTCTGGGAAGATGCACCACTGTTCTCAGTTTTCTGCAGTTGTGGATAACGGCTCTCTCTGTGGTTCACCGGAGAACCACAGACAGTCTTAGAAAATGACTTTGAAACTCTTTCTGGATGAACAGATGTCGCCGACTTCGTTTCTCATTTGTTCTTGAGTTTCTTTAGCTCGTGGCATGATGTGCTGCTTTTTGAGATCTTTTAATCTAATTCATTTTGCCTATTGAATTTGATCTCAACTTTCCAAAAAATGTGGTTAATCACAGGTAATTCTTGATTTAAGAGGGGGGACAATTATTTTTGCACACACAGCCAGGTAGGTTTGGCTTGCTTTTTCTTCTTAATAAATAAAATCATCATTTAAAAACTGCAATTTGTATTTACTTTGATTATCTTTTTCTAATATTAAAACTTGTTTGATGATCTGAAACACTGAGATTTGATAAATGTGAAAAAGCAACAACTCAGGAAGGGGTGAGAAATACTCTTTAGTGGCACTGTATACTTACATACAAAAACAATGGAAAAATTTACACACCACAGTACGCAATACTTAAACTAGATTAACTATGACTACAGTGATTGTACATTAAGAAATAGAAAGTACAGGAAAACCCTTTGATAGATTCGGTGGATTGATCTTTCAGAAAGGTTTAATCCTATAAGTTTAGATTTTACTCTTGTGGTTTTCTCAGTACACTGAGTGGGTTTTTCTTTTCCATTCACTGGAAAACAAAAGTAACCCGCTCTAAAAACACATCGCTATCAGACATTCACTTGTTGTGACTCAATAGTTGTTAGTAATTCTGCGCTGTACTTTTGGTGACCCACAGGTGGTTCCTGTATCTGGTCTTTGTCTTTCTCCTGGGGGCCATCTGCACCAGAGAAGCTCTACGCTGTGACTTCTTGATAGCTGAAAAGGTAAACTCCTCTCTGTGTTTCCATTCGGCTTTGTGAGGGGGGGCCTTCCAACAAAAGGGGAGAGGTAAGGGGACTTCCCATGGTGTCTCACTATGTTAGTGGTGTGGTTAGTTTGTGTTCTGACTATATAATACTGCATAGCAACATTATATTCATATTATATTCAAATGTGGAAATAATTATCAATTTTAGACTTAGAAGTGGGGATTTTTGGGAGGGGGGGTGGCAGCAATAATTTTCAAAAGTTGGGGGAGGATTACCACTGTGTCGTCTAGTCTATCAACCATAAGTGTTTCAGAACTGGGAGGACCACTTGCTATAGTGCTAAAAGATTTAGTCTTATTTTTGCTTAATGTAGAAAATGTGCAGCTTAATATTTCAGGTTTTTCAGGATAGGAATATGTTGGGCATGCAGATCCCCCCGTTTAGCACCTCTTTTTCCACAGAGCCATGCCACCGTCACATGTGCAGTTGGTGGTTTGGCATTGTCTGACCAAAAAAAGCAAAGTCTTCTCTTGCCTTCCCTGTTGCAATAACATGTGTTTCGCCAAAGCCTCCACTATACAGCTTTAATAGGCCTTTGATGCCTTGTGCACTGTGCACTTCTAACAAATCGGTCATATACAGTGTTTTGTTTTGAGGACAGGGAATGAGAAATCAATGCATAAATTGTCTTCAGAAAGTGTTGCCCAGCTCCAAACAAATAAACTGATCATTTGTCTCTTGGTGTAGCAAACATTCAGCATAGCATTACTGCAAAATGGTAAAAATCTCAAATTCATTATAAAATGATCGCACATGAGTTAGACGTTTTAATAAAATACGACCATTAGATGTTGCTTTGACCAAGTCCTTGACTTGCCCATCAGTGGTGATTTCTCATTGTTTTTATAAGGGGCTGGCTGTAGCGGAACTGGATTGGGCGTAACTGTTGTGAGCTCTCATCCCCACCCATCCTTTTTCACCCTCTGTTTGTTTTCCTTCTTCCTCCAGGTCTCCTTGGTGGGTTTCCTCTTTCTGCTGGGCCTCTACATCTCCTCCCTGGCTTCCTGCATGGGCGGCCTGTATGGAGCACCCAGGATCCTTCAGTGCATCGCCCAGGAGAGGGTCATTCCCTGTCTGGCCTTTTTGGGAAGAGGGGTGGGTGGATAGAGCCATGAAGGGAGGAATGTGTGAACTGAAAACTATTAGCTAGAGTGTTTTTGATGTCAATTGATATTACTGAGGTGTATTCATCAGCTACTAAATTCCCTTACATGCAGAATAACGTCCAATACTATGACATCTAAAACTGATGCTTGCCTTACTTGGAATGAAAAAGGATTCACCAAAAAGACTCATTATTAAAGGATGATTTATGAGTCTAAGGATTGGTTTTCAGTGTCAGTGTGCATATCGTGGGGGAGGATGAACTTGAGAGTAGCTTGAAGTCACCATAACTAGTCAAAGATTAATTTCAGGGTGCTAGTTGATTAAAACAGATATCTGCAGACTGAATTAAAATGAGGGCATCATCATTCTGTATATCTTCACACCACATGTAGACACAAAATGACTGTGAATAAGTTTGACACAGTGAAATTCCCCTAGAACTGAACTATAACAAATTGCATTTTGACTGCAGTACTCTGTAACTGCATGCTTACTGTATTATTCTGTGAATCAAATACAAGTTGTATAGAGTAATTGGGATTGAAGTTGGTTTCTCTGATTGCCCAAAGTAACACACACATACATTGTAAATGAATAAGTGTGCTAAGTCTGGCTCTAAAGGGGGCTGTGGTGTATGGATTCAGAAGGACATGGTCACAGGTCTGCCTAATTATAGAGCAAGCACTCCACAGAAGTGAGTGGACTGACTTTATTGCATCAAAGAGTTACGACACATTGCTGCAAAACACATGCACACATAGTCACGTTAACAACCTGACCTCTTCCACCCCAGTTTTCCTCAGACTTCTCTGGATGGCAGCAGTATCTGACCTCTCTCAGCAGGCTGGAATGAGGCCCTAGACATCTTGGCCCAAATCAAAGCCCCAGAACAAACGCAGGAAGGGAGACGGGCAGGGCCCTGCTCCGCTGTATGCTCTGGAGGCCCTCCAGCGCACAGCAGTGCTCCTTAAACAGTGAGATAGGACCTGGGAAATAAAAGCAAACTAGTTAACAAACCACATGTTAAAGCCATTTTTCCATTTTGAGAAAAGCAATTATTGTTGGGGGCATTGTTTTATTCCATTCATTTAATTGTGAATGCTGAACACTATTTAAGTTGTAAACACAAACGTATTCTTTATTTATGCAGTGTGTGTTTGATTTAATTAAATGTAATGTAGGCATACTCATGGAAAAATAGCACCAGAACCTTTCTAAAAGTCGAAATAGCTTTCTCATGGGCGTCACAGCTATCTCATGTCAGACTGGCCAGAAGAAGTCCAGATGAAGTCATAGGAAGATTTTGTGTAATGGATTTTTTTTTATTTACTCAATACGACCCACTTTTTTCAAGCTATAAAGCTTACATTTGTCAGCAACATGAATAAGTAATCATCTGATTGTTACTTGTTGGTAAATCAAACACTGAACATGAACTTTTGAAAACTCAGTGGACAACAGCAGGAAAAGATCACTCATCGGTGTTTTATTTAACTCAGATTCAGCTTTATGTTCGTTTTCATTGTGTCTCTGTTCCTCTGGATTGGTGTTTTCCCCCCTTTGCTCAAAACTAACATCGATTTTACTTGGCAAAGGGTTAGCTGTGGCAAATGTACAAAATCCCAGGAAGAATAAGACATTTTTCTTTGTCACACAAATTGTGTTGAGTTAGAGGCACACAATACGTGCATTTGGTACATTGTAACAGGAATCGCTAATATCGTGTGACCTTTTCTCCCTGACAGAAAGGCCCAAACAAGACCCCGGTGGCGGCTATCTTTCTGACGAGCCTGGTGACAATGGCCTTCATTTTCATCGGCCAAGTCAACGTACTGGCGCCCATCGTCACCATCAACTTCATGCTCACCTACAGCTTTGTCGACTACTCCTACTTCAGCGTGGCCATGACCTCCCACCTTCAGAATAAAGATAAGAGGGACACCGCCATAGTGGGCAAAAGAAACCAGCGCAGGTCCACCAGGCACAGCAGCACGTCACTGATTCAAGCCAATCTTCCAAACTATGGCAGTGATGGCGGGAGTCCGCAGAGTAAAGGCACTCTGCTGGAGTTCACTAGGGACATGGACCAGATATTTCCACCTGTTTCAAATGTGGACTCTGCAGCTGAGAAGACCTCCTGCATGCAAGACATGTACAACACATCCAAGAACAGAAAGGCTACTGCTAAGCAGAAGCTAATGGACAGCTTTGGTTTGGACTCGAACTCCAGTGTTTCCTCAGAAGAGAAAGAAGAGGGGACAAGTTCTGCTTCACTAGCAGAGGAAGACCAGGGGCCGGGTGGAGGAGGAGAGCTCAAGGCTGGAGAGGAGCCTCAAATCACGGGCTATAAAGATATTGGTCACGTTGAGCAGGATTTGCCTGCTGAGACTCACAATTACAGCACAGGTGATCAGATTTACCTATCAAACATTAGAATAGATTAGGGTATATACTGTATCATAGAAGCTACCTACCTGTTTGACCCTTTCTTAAATCTTTCAGGCACTGGAGATAAAGCAGAACACCAAAGCTTTGAAATCCAACCCAAGCACAATTCCTTCTATGCAAAGTTGTGTAACCGCTGGATCGCTCTCATTGGGGTATGACAGACATTTGCTGTACAATATTTTGATTTTGTTCTCATGGCTTTCTTGATAGTTTTGGAATAATGTGAACGTATCCTTTGTTTTCTTTCAGGCATTGAGCTCCATATTGATTATGTTTGTTATTCAATGGGTTTATGCCTTAACAAACATAATATTTGCCTTGCTGCTCTTCTTCTACATCGGGAAAACAAGTCCTGGACTACCAAGAGGTGATTTCCACATGTTTATTTTCTTTTTAGAAGAACTAAGTGGATTCAGGATAAATTCATCTCCACTTAATATTTGTACTTGATCTTGAAACTTCAGAGATTAAAGTGCTTTTTTGAGCGCTTCATAGACTAAAATTATAAATTATTGTATTATTAAAAAATAAACATGAATACAAGCATAATGAGTCGTATGAGGAAAACAAAGCACAAAAAGAACAAAAGACACCAAAGTGGGGAAAAAAGGATTTAATCTTGATACCTAATGGCAGTTAGGGTGACAATGCTAGCGTGTAGACATTTGTGTGTTCCTCCAGGGACATACTTCCCTAGACTATCACTGACCCACCATCCAACCCCTCAGGCTAAATGATGCTACAGGCAAACATAATGTTCTCCACAACTTCTCCAGAGTCTTTCACGTCTGTCACATGTGTTCAGGCAGAATTTGCTCGATTGGTGGTTCTGCCAATTCTGGTATTCTATGGCAATTGCTAATTGGTCTCCAGAGTGCCAGACACTGAACACAGGGTACACTAGATGATGTCGACCCCTTAGGCCACCCTCATAAAGTCTCTTTCTGATTGTTTGGTCAGAAACATTCACAATACTGGCCTGCTGGAGGTAATTTTGTAGGGCTCTGGCAGTGCTCATCTTGGTCCTCCTTGCACAAAAAAATACATGCGTCCTACTGATTGGTTAAGGATCTTTTACAGCCCTGTTCAGCTCTCCTATAGTAACTGCCTGTCTTCTGAAATCTCCTTCATGCTCTTGAGACTGTGCTGGGAAACAGTGGACTGGACAATCTCTCCAGGTATCACCTCATGCTGTCAGTGGTGACAAATTCAAAACGTGGAAAAAAAACCCTCCTTTTAATTTCATTAACACCAAAGCAGCTGAAACTGGTTAACAACACCCTCTGCTACTTAACTGACCTGATCAATATCCCAGACGTTTAGCAGACTTGATGCTATACTCAGATTAAAAAGTGTTCCTTTAATTTTTTTTTGAGCAGTGTACATACTGGAAGAATAGTAAGAATAGCTGATTTAAAGGGAACCAAATAACTTTTCCTGTATCTTGAGTTGTTTAATAAGGCCTTTGAAATATTTTTTAAAAATATTTTAAAGCTGTAGTCTTATTTAAAGACTTATGTCACTCTTTAAAGGAAGTGAAGCACTGAAATAATTTCCATTCATCATTTATCTAAAGTAAAAGCAATCTATAAGTAATGTGTTACAAAACTGAACTTGCTGATCCTGTATTTATTTAATTATTTTGGGGGGGATTGTGTGTCATTCGATCGTTGACTTTTATTTCATTATGTGCAACCAAATCCTTCCTAAACTGCAATCTCACATTTACTGATTTAGATTTGGTTACCATACCATATGTCGTTACGTGACCCAGTAGCATAGTCGGCTGGGAGGTTCACTTGCAGCCTCTTTGCCTGGCAGCTGTTGTGGCTTAGGATTTCTTGAATAGCTGGATGTGACACCCTGCATCTGTGCAATAAACTCACCACATCAGTACGTGCCTCAGCCGTCTGACTCACGACATTTTTGAACACAAGCGTCAAACAAGTGTCAGACATTTGTTCCACAAATGGAGATGTTGCCAATGGCACAGCGCAGTTACTACCTCCTGTGTAGTGGCAGAGCTTCAGATACTCACAGCAGAAAAAGGTGTAAAATTTTAGCAACATTGAATGCAAAATTATTACAGCAGAAAATTATGTATTTCTTCCTGGTAGAAACGTAACGGTCTGGATTTTGATTAATTTGCAGGAATTGCAGCTCAGTTCAGCTTTTTCACGTGGTTCAAATCAACACTGAGTAGCATTTGCAGGTATTTATGATTTTATTTATGCACTGAAAAATCTTGCATCATTGATGTCTATTAAATAATGAAGAAGCCAATTTGAGTTTTATATGTGAGTTTAATTTGCTAAGAGTTATTTCTATGGCTGAACCATAATCCGACAGTGCTTTTATTATAAAATTGCAATGAAATCGAAAACCTCATAAGTTTTAAACTGTAAATGGTGTTGATTTCAGTTTTTGATTATTTTCTACATCGTTACGCCTGAAATTAATTTTTCTGTGTATTCTTCTCTTTCAGTAGAAAAGCATCACCCCGGGATGAGATCGTAGTGACGCCCTCTTTGTCTGGGACTCTGGGGCTGAAAACCAAGCAGCTGACGGAGGAAAATGCTGACTTTGCCTCTCGTCACCGCTGTCATCAATCGTCGTTCATCAGGGCCGACAATATGGTCCAACCACCATTTCACTGACCGAATTAAACACTGCCTCAGTTATGCGTCGCAGCTGACAGCCTGAATACCACATTTTCTGCCTCAAACGGTGTCTCATGTTGCACTACGGGCAGAATACTGCTCACATGTTAAGAATCTCAGTGGCTCGAATTGTTTTCCTGTGGTGGTTCAAGGAAATCAAAGCTTTGCACAAAGGTTATGTGGAAGAATAAGATACATCAGAGAAAGGCGATAGCTAAAATGTGCAGGTTTTCATGCAAACAGACAAATGCAGAGATTTATTATTTCCTCTTAATATAAACTTCAACTTTAACTCTTTCATTTTCAACTGGGTTTTTTTTTTTTGTTTGTTTTTTTTTGCCGTTCCATTACTCTAAAATGGCCTTTTAAAATGCAAAACTTTTAAAACATAGTGTATAGTTTATAGATGACAAATACTTTATCTTATATATGGGACTTTTTTTGTCACAGCTGTTGAAATAATAATAATAGCAATAATGAAAAGCTAATCTCTGCCCCAATAACCTGTCCAGTTAGTGGTCCAGAGGTTGGTGAGGATGATTGATAATCCACAATCACTTTATTCAGTATGTTGCTGTCACAAACTCTGGTGCTGCTAACCCAGCAGAGCACAGCAAAGTACTTTACACTCACTACAGCTCATTGATAGAATATCTCTATCATTTTGCTGCATACACAGAACAAGGAGCTGTGTGGGCTGTAAAACTGCAAAAGTCTTCTATAAATGCCGATCTATTTCCAATCAAACCTAAAGCTAATTTCAGCTGCTCCCTTCTCATAAGGGATTGCCATAGTGATTAGCTCCATGTGTTTTTATTTGACAGTTTTACGCTGGATGCTCTTCCTGCCAGGATCTTGATCGGCCTTAGTAACCCATGCCACGAAGCTCTCGGTGGACAGTTTTTGTGCTGATGTTAAGAAGTTTGGAGCTCTGCAGTCACTGAGTCTGTAAGGCGTCGGCGACTTTCATGCCCTTCACACCTCAGAACGCAGTAACCCTGCTCTTACCTTGCATGGTCTACCACTATGTGCCTGAATTGTTTTAGCTCCTAAATGCTTTTGCTTTGCAATAATAATATTGAGACATTTTACAAAGTACTTGTTGTGATAGTGATATCTATTACGCTACCATACTCAAATTCAGAGAGCTCTTTACAATCAGTTTTTTTGAAAAAAATGTTTTTAAAGGTAGACTGCATGGATAGGTGCTTGGTGTTATACACCTGTGACAATGGGACTAAAAATACTTGAATTCCAAGTCTGTATAATGTGTTCATAGCAAGTATCAAATAATGAGGTTTTTTTTCCCATGTGTGTAAAGCACTTTAACAGCTCTCCTGGTTAAAAAAAGAAAGAAACAAAAACCTTTGAAGACACTATATGGTGTGAATTAAATGCATGCTAAATGTTTTTGGGGTGTGTTTTTTTTCAGTTACAAGTATGATCTGGAAGTATCACAGAGTTCAAGAGTCAGTGTTTGAGCAAAGCTGTGAAAACCACTTCCTCTTATCCTGTTTCTGTGAAAGCAACGGCCCGCCAGCAGGCACACAAGCCTGTAAACCTACTGATTACTTATTTTCTTATCACTGGGCTGAGCTGTAGAAGGGTTGGTGTGCTTTGTGCCTTTGCAGTGACTAAGAAGAAACCCTGTGCGGTTGGAAAAGTTAGTGACTTTCAGTTGATGCACAATGGCTTGAAATGTGAGCAGTGGGAATTAAATACACGATGGAGACAGGACTAAACTCTACTCACTTTTGGACCTACAGGATGTTTGGGCTTTGTGTCATGCAGGAATGAGATTAGAGCATAATGTCTGCAGAAGATTAAAAAAAAATAATAATATTGTGGTTTGGTGAAAGTGCATTAAATTACAATCTTTCATTTGTTTGCTTGCTTTGTTTGCACCAACCACCAAAGTCACTGAAGCAAAAGTTCCAACAATGTGTGTTGCACAGCACTGGTTTGAGAGGCTGATTATGTTTACAATCAGTTATGTGTCAAGACAAATTTATGCATGTTTCTCTCTTTTTTTTTTTTGTTGCTTAATAGCCTAAAAATGAACAAATGAACTGCAGAATAGTACATATTAATTACAGTTTCCCTTGGAATAAAATGTGCTATAAATAATGTTTGTCACCTAAAGAGTTATCTGTTATTCTACCCATAAAACGAACTCCAATTCCCCCAGATGTTCCTCTGATCCCAACCAGAGCACATGAACGTCTGCCCGGTAGTTCAGTCTGGCTCTACCTAAAATAGAAATATTTAATGTCTGGAAAAGTGGAATGTGCTGTGGATATGTATATACAAGCTCATTCTAAAGCTTGACAATGACTACAAACATACAGTCTGAGTCACAAAAGAGTAACTAAGCAGTAAACATGAAGACCAAGGATTCTTGCAGCAGATGGACTGACCTACTGAGAGAATTCCACGTGATTTTTTCACTTTTTTAAAACCTGCTGTGACGTGATTGCACTAACAGAAAACTGGAAAGCCAACATATGAGGGTTTTGAATGATGAAAAGAAAAGTTCCGTGGGGAAATAAATCGCAAGATACGAACTAATAAACAATAAAATAATATTTTAAAAAATAGAGAGAGAGATGGGTGTCTTTGTGGTTAAGACTCTATATAACAACAGAAGTGATTTTTACAACTATAGCCTGTGATTACAGGTTATTATCAGCAGGTAATGATAGGCTACCGTAACACTCAGAGTAGAGGGATTATTCGGTGATGTGAGTAACTAACAGCTCTTAAAAACTTCACGTCTTCTGTGGCTTGAAAAGGAAAGTATTTATGGGCAAAGCTTCCGACACCTGCAGACAACACAGGCGCTACTGGGCTCAGTAACGGGACTCTCAGTGTGTGTGTGTGTGTGTGTGTGTGCGGGGAGGAGGAGGAGCCCGGGCTGAGATAACAGGCTGCTGCCTCGGCTCTGTTATCTTCCGCTCCCCGCCGTCTGAGCTGCGGATCTCCTCCGGACCTTTACCAGGATTTATTCATTTCCCATTAAAACTTCACTAAACGCCGAAGCGCTCCTCCCATGGTGTCCCCGGGAGACTCTCCGACATTCACTCGACTTCACGGAAACTATCGGCGACCGTTTTGGGGGGTCTTGAAAAAATCATGGAAACGTGGTTTTTGAATCACGTCCTCGGTTTGTCTCTTCTGGTCCTTCATCTGGGTCTGCCGGGGCCCCTCCGGGCTGGGACCCCCAGTAACAACAGCACGAATACGGCAACTCCAGCACTGGATGACTCGGTGGCCACGGATGAAGTCAGAAGCATGGAAAACAGCGCAACTTCAAATTCATACTCCAGCGAGACTTTAACACCATCACAGAGAAACCTCCTGCTCAGGCACGCTGCAGAAACTCACGCTGCTACTGCTGGAAACTTCGGTAAGAGCTCCGAGTGTGAGGCCTGCAGTGGCAAGTGCTGCACAATGATTGAAAAGATCTCCTTTTCATTTCGGCCTGTTGAAGTGAGGTAACAAAAAAGGATCCATAAAAGTTCATTTGAGATCCTCCAACATTATTTTGTAAGTTAGTGGTCTTCTATTATTGACAAGTATGATTTTAAAAGAAAAATGTCTAAACACAAAGTTTCCATTTCGGTTATTTGTGACTGTGTTGTGTATTGTTTTATTTTTGAAAATGAAATAATAACACGTGCTTAGTTTCATCGTGCATGTGTGCCAGGTTTAGCCAGGTGTGCAGTATTCCAGAAATATGCCTCACTATAACTGTCCCAAAGCCTATTTTCTAATCCCATCCTGAAATGGCTCTTGTAGATGTGTTTATGACCATCAAAACTTTTACACACATGCAAGTTAGATGCTTTTCCCACTTTAAGAAATGGTATTTGGTAAATAGTAAATGGCCTGTATTTGTATAGCGCTTTACTTAGTCCCTATGGACCCCAAAGCACTTTACACTACATTCAGTCATCCACCCATTCAAACACACATTCACACACTTATATTTATATGTATTTTGTGAAATTGTGTTTAGAAAGGCTGCTAGAATTAATTTTCATAAGCTGCTTTGCCAACGGCAAACAGTATAGAGCTGAAGTAATGTATATCTATTGACTGGTGTTATAACGGTTTAAAAAACAAAAACAATTTTACCACATTTACTTTCATTTCAAGTTCCCTGTTGTGTACAACCACTGGTTCAAAACCCAAAGATCTTGAGATTAGTGTTATCAGGAATGAGGCCCTAAAGCTAATAGTTTGGGGCTCATATTCAACTCCTGGAGCTCCTTCAGACCATTACACAAGTTCAAGTCTCACCACTGTAGGTAAACAGAGTATTTGCCATGAACTGTGACAGCTTTAAAAATTGACGAGGTTATCAGAACAGATGCATTCGCTCAATGCTTAGTAAACACTGGATAATCTACTGACGAGGTTATCACTCGTCACATCTTATCTGCATTCGAACTTGATGTAATACTACAGGTGCTGGCTTCCTGTTTAGCAGGAGGTGTTGAAAGCCGTAACATTTGTTCATCGGCTTATACCCACCTGGACCCGAGCATCCAGTGGTTAAACTGCTGTATGACACTCATTTATGCTGCAGTATTAAACAATCCTAAACATGCAGTTCGTCTGGACAGGAATGAGAGCTGAAGCGTGCTACTTTTTGCTTGGGAGAGACGTTACTAATACAGAGGAACCTGCAGTTGAAGTATTTAGAGCATTTGGTGCAAGAGGAGGAGGGAATCCACATCCTAAGCACTCCATGACTACCTTCAGAAGTTTGGATGAAAGAACTAGAATTTGGGTCTGATTTCCTGTGCACAAAGCCAAACATCATCCATCGTACTATAAGAAGAAAAGCATGCCTCATAAAATTCCTGAATTATTGCCATACTGACTCAAAGCAATAAAAGATAGAGAAAGGACTTTAACTTCTGATATTTCTACTTTGCAGAGCCGATAATACTCTTATCCCTTAAATGAAGGGTTTAGGCATAACGCTGCTGTGCTGGAAGAACATTTCTTCTCTACCACAGCTGGTTTAAGCTACACTCCTGCCAGCGGGAAGAAGGAGGGTTTTGATGCTGGGGCATATGTGAAAATAATATTTAATATCACAGCCAGTATCACGCATAATAATGTACCATAAAACATCCAGTAATGGCTGGACCGATGACTACGTCATTTTATTTTGATAGTTTTGCCCTTAAACTTCAACAAACTTTCAACTTTACAACTACAAATGCAACTTTTGCTTAATTACTATATAAACTACTATATATAGTGTACAAAGTAAGAATCAGAAATTACACACTATGTAATAAACACTTAAAAGATTTGTCTCCATGGTAATAGGATACCTCAAATGTTGCACTATAGCGCACGTGCTTCTTTGAATTTAAGAGATATTTTTAATCATTATGTTGATAAAATTCTTGATTCTTAAAGTTGCACACACTTCCATTTTGCAGTATAAATAAAGTTCAGGATTTTCGTAGATGCTGCAAAGGAAAGATGAGGCTGAAATGATTCACTTTCCTCACTTAATGTTTATTCAATGACCCTAGCAAGATCATCTTGGCTGCCCTCTTTGGCCTGCATAATGAGTATAAGCCAGTCTATTCAAAACACTACTGTGGTGTCATCTGAGGGTCTTTAATATGCAAAAGGCATTTCATTTGCTTGAATTAATATGCGAGCCATAGAGCTTCTGAAGTGGAACAGATGTTAAAAGACTGCAGTTACAACTGTGTTAACAGTTAAGAGATAGATAGTAGCTGAGGATCTGGGAGTGTCTGTCATTTGCTGCCAACACCACGTTCCTGTCTGAGTTTTGTTGCCCAGACGGTATCCAGAGAGAGAAAATGAAATAATAAGAGAGACACATGCAGAGGAAGTGAGAGGGAAAAATAGAGTCTGGTGGCCCAGTTCTCCTAGACTCCCAGTGGACTGGCTGTTTAGCTGTTGAACCCTCCCTTTCATTGGTTCTGGATGTTGTCTGCTGGTGGCACTGACACTCATCTCAAGAGTGGTGTTGTTCCAGTCCAGGACAGCAGCCAGATAAGCTGTAAGACAGCACTGCACAAAGATAGGCAAAAAAAAGACCTCTCTCACTCTTTATCCCTATCTGTCTCACATTGCTTAAGTACGTCTGATGCTTTAACTCTTCTATCCATCTTTGGGATTCAAGTTGAGCAACTCTAAGCTTTTCAGAATCAAAACATTCTCAAATGGGGGGAAAAAACCTACCTGCTCCCAAAATAGGCAATCCTTTGAGTGTATTTTCTGCAAGGGAAACAAAGGTTTAACCGCTGCCAAGCAGCAGGCAAAGTCAGTAACAAACATGGAAACCCAGTTCAGCCGTCATCTTATCAAGCAGTTGGTGCTAAAAATAATTTTAAGCCCCCGTGTGTTGGATGTGTAAATAGATAACTGAATGCTGAAATGTTTGACATGTGTTGAACATGAATTATTTACATGTGGCCAGAGGTGCTGGACAAGCTCAGATTATCTTGGATGTTTGGAAACTGTAACCTTGCGAGAATTATTCAAGCTGGAGACTTTGCTGGATGTCATCCCGCTTGCTCTCTGCTGTTGGTTCCTTTCTAGCTCTACTGTCAGCTGTAAAAAGGACATGCCTGGGGGGGAAAAAAGTGTTTAAAACAACAGTCACTACTTTAAAAGTCATTCTCTTCCCCTTTAGTGGTAGCGTTTTGGGAGTTTTTATGACTTAACAGTTTTCACACAGACTAAAAAAGACTGAATATGAGCACACACCCAGATCCACTGTGACAGCTTTCTGCCAGTTCCTTGTGCTCGCTCAGCTTTAGGAAGGAAATGGCTGATTCCCAACAGAGACAGTCCCCACCATATTTAGGACTTCAAGCCATTGTTAGAGTAGACAAGTTGGCTGCCAGTTGTTCTCCACCCAAAAGCATTGCCCATGCTGCAAGTTAAATTCTGACAGCATTTTGTCTCTGACTATAGACTGTACAGGCGAGACGGGGATAACACCCTCTGGTGGAGGTAAAGTACAACATATAGGCGAGTACAGCAACACTCTTTTGAGTCTAGTGATGAAGGATGCTGGTATATATTTAAAAAAAGATTGCCTTTAAATTTTTAGGTGGCTGCAGCAGTGCAAAGCCAAATTTCATGAAGTTACCAGCTGTATATGGTAGAAAAGGAGAAAGCCAGTGCATATTCATTTCTCAAGAGTTGGCGTATGTGGCACAACAGACTTCATTTTGTCCAGTGACTACCAATAAATCACTACCAGATCATTTAAAACAGGGATGTCAAACTCATTTTACATGGTGGGCTGCATACAGCCCAGGAATTTCAATAGTTATTGGTGAAAAAAAAACTTTTTGTAATTTTATTGTCCTAATTTTAACTCTAGTAATTAATTACTTTGTTGTTGGGATAGGTTTTTATCAGTAGGAAAAGCTGTAAAACTTGTACAAATACAGTCAAAAGTCCAAGGTTTATGCCAAATTGAAGTCATTCTGGCCCCCAGGCCTTATATTTAACACCCCTGATTTAACCTCCTAAGACCCGAACTCTTCCACGGCATGCATTTTTACTTTCTCTTTGATATTTGGGCATATTGGGACCTGATGAATGTAAAAACAAAGAATTACCAGATTTTTTTTTTTTACCTGATTTTTGTTTCTAAGAAAAATGAGAGCCACATATGAGGATATTCGTTTAAAATTTCGATAGAACAGTTACAGTATAATGTCCTCGTAAGTGGATATCAGGCCCTTGTAGAGCAAAATTGAGTATTTTAGTCTAAATAACCCAAAATGTGATGTTCACATATGTGGACACCAGGTCCTAGGAGGTTAAAGTAACATTTTAACATGCCTTAACTGGACCTCCTTAATGATAGAAAATCTTTAAAAATGTTCATAACTGATTCAAAAGTGTATGATTTTATATTGGTGAATATTTACTAATGTGATCTTTTTCTCTATTCCTAGGCACAGACCAGACACAGTCCATTACAGAAACAAGCAGTGGGTCTATAGAGACTGCAAATCCACTGTCTACTGAGCCACTTACCTCCAACTTTGTAACTGCCACTGAGGCCAGCAGCAGCAGCAACAGCAGGGACTGGAAGGACAGCAGCAGCAGCATCAGCAGCAGCAGCAGCAGCGACAGCAACAGCAGGGACTGGAAGGACAGCAGCAGCAGCAGCAGCAGCACCAGCACCAGCACCAGCAGCAGCAGCAGCAACAGCAGGGACTGGAAGGACAGCAGCAGCAGCAGCACCAGCAGCAGCACCACCAGCAGCAGCAGCAGCAACAGCAGGGACTGGAAGGACAGCAGCATCAGCAGCAGCAGCGACAGCAACAGCAGGGACTGGAAGGACAGCAGCAGCAGCAGCAGGGACTGGAAGGACATGACTTACACAGACAAGACGCCAGGTATCTCTTATGTTGTGTCAGAGGAGGATAGGCCCCAGGTGTTTACAGAGGAGGGCCACCTACTCCAAGACAACCCAGACACTACTCTCCAAATGGGGGATGCCACAGCCTCCCACACAGACGTCCTCACCGACAGCACCTACACCACCACCAGCCGAGCTGGGGAGAGGACCTTGCTGTCTGTTACCTCCTCCTCCAGCAACACCACCTCATCTGCCTTTACAGAAGACTCCAACTCCCGTCAGCCTCCTTCCACTTGGGGTATTTCTCCTAAGTCGACAGAGACTGAGAACTACACCCACAGTGCCCCGTCCACAGGGATTACTGGAAGGGACGTGACCGACTCGTTCAAAGGAGTGTTTTCAGAAACTGGGAGCCCAGCAAGTTCCAGTGGAACCCAGAGTATTACTGGACATCCCAATGCCACCGAACAACAGCACACGTCGACATCAGAAGAGCCGTCTGACTCAACGTCATCTATCAGGGTGACAGAGCCCAGCACTGACCAATCTCAAATGTCATTTTCCTCTACGCCTCCTTTCACCTCACCTGCAGGAGGTCCCACCAATATTTCAGGAACAGAGCAAGGCTTGGGCTCTAGTTCTGGAGCGTCTACAGAGTTTTCAACTGGAGACCACAGTTCTAGCACTCAGAGTGGCACTGAGGGGCTTTCATCGCAGACCAGAGAGGGAAATGTCGACTTGGGTCTGACTGCAGTGCCCTCTACTGTCAGTAGTAGTACGTCTGAAACAAATCAGTCTCTGACAGATATGCCACCACTGGGTACTAACGTCTTCCTCATCACCTCACCTGCCACTGTTACAGAAAGGTATGCTAAAAAAAAGAATATTGATGAATATTAATAATAATTTGAAGTTTTTAAAGTCTGTACCTTTAAAGAAGGTAGAAGCAGAACTTGATTTCATTTGACTTGAGGTTTAATTTTTCTCTTCGTCAGATCGCAGATAACAGAAGAAAACCCTATCATATCAACCGCTTTCAGCACCACCACCAGCACCCCAACCTCCACTGAGGCTATTACCACACCTCCTCTAGTTCCAACTTCATCCGCAAGGTTGACTAGCACCGTGACTAGCTCTCCTCTACAGTCCCCTACCAGTGCCACTGTCCTATACAGTTCGTCCTCCACGGTAGCCTCCACTCTGGCAGCGCAACCGACCCAACGTGCGCCACCCAGGCACACGGAGGGCCCCGTGACTGGGATGTCTGACCCCACTAATGTCACCACCCTGCAGATCGAAACAAGCACGGGAACTAGCAGAGTCACCACAGCTCACAGCAAGTCCATCACTACAACCTACACCCACAGTACCCCAACCAAGAGTACGGAAGCTCTGCACACCACTAGGAATCAGACAGACAGAGGTCCTACAGAGCTGGCGGTCACAACACCACCCCCTGATTTTCAGCACACCAGTCCACCACCACCACCTCCACCTCCAAGTGAGTTAGTCAGCTTCTTTCTCTTCAAATGACGGGACTTATTATTCAGTTTTCAGAGCAGAAATGTGTGTTTATCGTGTTCTTGTATGAGTTGCTCTTCATATTTGCATGTTTTCTTCTTACTATAACTAATAGAGGATTGTGCAATAACGATTCAGCGTATCACAGGTTCTAATATTCCCCAAACACTGTGCTTCCTGGTCATGAACGTGACTAATAATCTGAGTAGATGGCATTAGCTGATTTCTTGCATGTTGCAATAAAGCAAAAAAGAGTTCAACCTTAATTTATTGACAGATTAATTTACTGAAAAGCAGTCTTTACTTTTCTGTGGTGGCAGTTAGAGGATTGCAGCCGTCCTAAGCAATAAAATAAAAAGTACCACTGACATAACAATGATGAATACACATAACTTGGACTCTTCTTCACAATGAGATGCTGTTGAACGGATTTGTTCTCTCTTGTCTCAAGAATTTGCTGATGAATTTTCAAGTGATGCACTTGTGTGAAATGCTTTTAACGTGCCGCTCCCAGTGAATGGGTCTGGTATTCTGCACTGATCTTTCTTTCTGATTGGATGAATTCACTACTTGGAACAATGAATCTTTTACAGAAGCAGAAAAATATGGAAATTAGTTGTAGAAGTCTCAAAAAATCATCTATCAAATATAATAGACTTTGCATAACAGAGATAAAACTGCACATAGGAGGATGGATGACAGGTCAGAGTGAAACCGCATGCCCTAAAAGGTCAAACCGAAGCTTTTTTAAGGATGCTATTTTCCCTGATTAATGCTAACACACCCTCTATCTACTCGTAAATTTTAGGAAACCCCTGTGTGTCCAACCCTTGTAACAATGAAGGGATTTGTATGGGTGATGAACCGGATGCGTTCAGGTGTAGCTGTCAGCAAGGATGGACGGGACGGACCTGCAACAAGGGTGAGCTCTTCTGCTCTTCTACCCAACAGTTTAAAAACAATATTGGTACTATGTGTGTTTTTCCATGTTTTGTCTTTCAAAAAACAAAATGCATGAAATGTTGCATCAACCCCTTTTTAGAGAGTGTGATAAGGGTGTAAAAGTTTGGTGAAATCCTTCCCAAATATAATATTGTTACACCTGTGTGTTTAGATATTGATGAGTGTAAGCAAAAGCAAGAACCCTGCCCCAAAGGCTCCACGTGCGTTAACACGAATGGCTCATTCAGCTGTGAATGCCCGCTGGGCTTTGACCTTGAAGATGGACGCACATGCAGCCGAGGTAAAGAAAAAGGACATTAGAGTTTGTTTTTTTCTCCAGTCAAAGTTATTTTCTCAGAGGCCTTTTATGTTTTTTAATTCACACTGTTTTCCCCCCTTAATAGCTAAGACATTTCTCTGCACTATCAGTGCCAACGGATCACTACATAACTCTGATATCCAAAGACAGATCATCAAGCTGGTGAGAGGCAGTTCGCGTCACTGCATATTCTGTGCTTCACTAAGCTTACGTGCATTATATCTTATACATGCTCCTGTTTTTGTCTTTCCTGCAGTTCAATGTTTCACTCTCTGACTACCCAGGTTACAGGCGCTCAACAGTGACCAAGCAGTACGTTTTTGCATTGAATTTCTGCACATTTTCTGTATTTTTTGATATATATTTAAAATATGCAATTAAAGAAAGTGGTTGTAATTATTGTTAGTAACCTCAGAAAAAACGAATCTTTCAATTACAATCCTATAAGGTAATGTTTCCAGTGCAAGTCTACTTGTTTCTCAGTTTTTCGTCATTCTACTTCAAAGATCTGCATTTTTGACATTTCTTCTTCTTCTTCTTTTGATGATGCTAAAACTTAGCTAGTTAAAAGGGATCTCTCTTATCTATTAGAACCTTGTTTTCTTGTTATTTACAACACCAACAAATTCTCCATATTGACCTCAGATCTCCTCCCCATAGAGAGAAGGATGGTGTTAGTGTCATGGTTGCTAACACGTTTTCCACCTCCGCTAATGTGACAACCACTGAGGTCAACAACAGAATCCAGATGTCTCTCAAAACCTGCAGCTCCGCATTAGCCCACTGCCAGGTGGTCCTGAAATACAAGCTCACTTACCACGGTGAGTGTGATAGCCAGAAATCTCAGTGGAAATCATTAACTGTGTTTGTTTTAATTAATAATTAAATCGTTTTTCCAACTGCTCTTCAAATCAAATCAAATCAAAATTTATTTATATAGCACATATTAAAAACAACAGTGTTGACCATAATGCTTCACAGTCAATAAAAACATGAGACAGTTAAAACAAACAATAGAAGAGGACAACAAACAATAGGTAACAACGCAACAAGCTAAAACAGCCAACTAGACAGAATCAAAAGCCAAAGTAAAAAAACAAGTTTTAAGACGTAATTTAAAAGACTGGATAGACTCGGCAGTGCGAATATGAACGGGGAGGTTATTCCAGAGTCTGGGTGCCACGGATGCAAAGGCCCGGTTGCCTCTCGACTTCATTCGAGTCCTAGGTTGTGCTAGGAGCCTATGGTTGGATGATCTAAGTGCCCTGTCGTGTAAAACTTTGTTAACATCAAAGTAACTTTACAAAGTCTGCAACATCTGCAACTTCAGCTGCCTCAAAACGAAGTTCTATTGATGCAACAGAAACACAATAATGATGTTTACAATAAGACGTGTGAACACGTCTTATTGTAAACTTTATTTAGGGCAGTCTCATTTCAACCACCAGAGGGCAGAATTTAGCCATAAAAACATTTAATGAACTGTGGCGTGATATATATGTAAAAAGCTTTGCATGTGTATAAGCCAGAAACTTCAAAGCATCATATAACAGCTTCATTTCACAACATGACACTACCGGTAATTGTATAATCATGTCACAGGACACTGGTGCTGTGCCTCTAAATGCTAAAATATACTGTACAAGCTCTGCATGTCAAAATTATTCATTTTTCAATGAAACAAAGGGGAACTATTAACAAAAATTGTGTTTTATGATCAGATTTTTATAGCTGAGATTAATTCTGCCCGCACTGTGTTCCAGCGGAGAGTCTTTGTGCGGCTCAGAAAACCCAGTGTGATGAAGAGCGCTCCAGCTGCACGGACACCAGTGGTATCGCGTGCTGCCAGTGCCGTGAGGGATACTACAAACACAATCCTGACGATTTGTACTGCTTAGGTAAGCTCTTCTTTATTTACATGTTGCCACATGTGCATTTTTGTTTGAGTCACCAACCTGAGAGAAGTCAAATGAAAAAGTTAAATCAAGGAAATTAATGTCTCAAAATATCTCCAGTTTCCCCTAAAATTTGACTGCTACACGTTATATGAGAATTTGACTGAGGAAGCCAAAAATGAATAAAACAGCACTGGCCAGGCCTTTGAAACCTACTTACCAAACTGTGTTCTTTCAAGTCACTGAACAAAATGTCTTGTTTCAGAATGTGGAGATGGCTTAAAACTAGAAAATGGCACCTGTGTCCCGTAAGTTTGCTTCCTTTTGTTTCTTGTCAGTACTGTTTTCTGAAAATATTCAAGGCAACTGAAGGTTCCATTTCTTTATTTCAGATGCATGTTTGGTTTTGGAGGATTCAACTGTGGAAATTGTAAGTGAAGCCCACCGATCATATTCATCTTAAATAGAATTTCTTATATCTTTAAATGTGCTAAATTTCTTAAGTGTAATTTTGTGTTATTTTTTAACTGTAATAAGAATAATATTTACGGTGTTTCTATTTGCAATTGCAGTTTACAAGCTGATTGCAGTGGTAGTGTCACCTGCAGGGGGCGCCCTGCTCCTCATCCTTGTCATTGCTCTCATTGTCACTTGCTGCAAGTAAGTTTGCTTTATTGTTAATTCAAGAAAGTAAATGTAATGAATATTGCCCGATAATATTATTTTATATTATAAACCCAATCTGTATGTAAAAGTTGGGCTTAATGTGGAAGTGCCATAAAATAACACTCTTTTAATGATTAATAGGAGGTGAGGCCTCCTATTGCAAAAAGTCTGTAGAAGTCAAAAGGTCTTTCTGCTCAATTTATAACCTCAGCAGGTATATTCTTGATGAATTTGTGGTGAAGACATCTAAATGGCCCCATTTAGAGTCAGAAAAGCACAAAATTCAGGGAATACTAGATCCTCATGACATCTGAGTTTAAAAAAAAAAAGGAAAAATACTCAAGTAGAGACTTCCATCATGGTGGCTACATCCATCTTTTATATACAGGCTATATTTATAAACAAAAACCCATCAAGTTTAAGTTTTTTCAATGTGGAATCTTTCAGGAAAGACAAAAATGACATCAATAAGATCATCTTTAAAAGTGGAGACTTGCAGATGTCCCCGTACGCAGACTTCCCTAAAAATAACCGGATATCCATGGAGTGGGGGAGAGAGACAATAGAGATGCAAGAGAACGGCAGCACAAAAAACCTGCTACAGATGACTGATATCTACTACTCTGTAAGGGAACATGTCATTTCTCGCTTCTCACACATCTCTGTCTCTTGTTTAAGTTAAGGCTTCGTTTCTCTGTGTGTGTGGTTGATGATAAAGTCCTTTTTTTTGTTTCTTCTGTTATTTCCCTCAGCCTGCCTTGCGTAACTCAGACCTGGACAGAAATGGCCTGTACCCCTTCCCGGGTCTCCCAGGCTCTCGCCATTCATGCATCTACCCAGCCCAGTGGAACCCATCTTTCATCAGTGATGATTCAAGGAGAAGAGACTACTTCTGAGTGGGCCACTGTGAACACGCAAACTATTAGAAACGTACCATTTTTTTCATACTAACAGTTGGGATTTGTCAGGATGGGTTTTCTGTCACTGTGTGCAAACCCTATTTGCACACTAAATACGTGTTTGTGTGTGTCAGCACATTATAAACGTACACATTTTCTCGAGTAAAATGTGTTTCAGTGTTTTTGCATGGCCCATTCACGTTAACACGTGCATTTTCCACCGTGCTGATGTTGTATTTAATGTGTTTTTCCTGCCTTACATACAACCACCAATACTAATTTGCTCCAGTGTGTAGGTCGGTGATCCATTACAGTTAGCATCGTGTCTGCCTCTCTTGCTGCCAGAGTTATGCTGTTGCTGGCTGGTAATGCATTGCAGCTTTGCTTGAACAAAATTGCTTAATGATAAATAAAAGCATTCACGATGTTTCCATTGTGCTCACCAGATATGGGGAAAAACGCAATAAAAAAAATAATGCAGCATCCTTTGGAGGGATAAACCACAAATAAAATGTAGCAAGCAGACATGCAAAAACACAGATAATGTCGTTTCTGTAAGTGAACGTTTAACATGTGTGTGCCAATGCTGTGATCTTCTTACGTAAAGTATTGATTCAACATGACAACAGCAAACCACTGAAGGGTGAACGAAGTTTAGCTTCATGCCAGTAGAAACTTAGGAATGACTTTGTAGTCTGTTGCCAACATTTATTTATTCCTTGTATGTCCAAATCAATGACATGTAGCATAACATCTCGTACATACACACTGACTTTAGAGGGATAAACCTGTGGCTTTAAATAAGTATGTGTGTGTGTGCCTGTGTGTGTGTGTATGCCTGTGTATGTTAAAGAATGAAAGTGTGTGAGGAATAATAATCTGTATCGTTACTGTTGTTAAATATTTGAATGTAAAGATGTATCATGATTAGCTATTTCTGTCGTGGATTATTTTTTTTATTTGAATGTTTTCTAACTTGGTGTTGATTCTGGCGTTTTAGTCAGATGAGCTTATTTAAATAAAAATGTTACAAAGCATTTTCTCTGGGACTCCATTCTTTAAACCTTTAAATCCTATATGTTCGGGATAAATGGCACACTTTATATTACTCAACTGTAGGTTAATTTCTGTTTCTTATGCTGCCAAAAAGTAATGATCATTGCATCGTTTTAGTACAATATTGTGCCATGAACCAAGAAGAACAAATTAGCAATTTAAACTTGAAAGAAATGGGATGATTGGAAATTCAATACTAAAACAGTACATTTAACACTGGCTGATATTGTCATGCATACCTTCATTTTTACCTTCAAGTCACTGTCCTGTTATTTGCACTAAACTTTTTGGTGCTTAAACCTTTATCATGTAAAACTCAGAAGTTTACATACACTCATTATGGGCATAGATGTCATAATACCTTAAGGTGAAGATCTAACAAGCAGAATTGTAGATTTACACAAGTTGGGAAGGTGTCTTGGAGCCATTTCTAGTTCAAACAACTGCACATAAATACGAGTGTTTTGAATGTGTCTCCACTTTGCCAAGGTCTGGTAGACTGTCAGCCTCAAATGATTTTCAGGAACCACCAATGCTTAACCCTGCCACGAAATGCTGGAACACCAATGTCACTGTCCGCAGCAAGTGATTTTTCACCATGGACAAAAGGGTGGCGACCAAGAAAGTAACCCTTGCTCCAAAACTGACACTTTCAAATTTGACTGAAACTGCGTCTAAATTCAGATAAAAAGTGAGATTACTGTAATCAGCCCCAAAAACTGTGTCAAACCAGTTACCTTGGATGACACGACCTTGGCCCCCAGTAACAATGTGAGGAATCCTGGAGTTATTTTTGACCAGAATACAGTTCAATGTGCATATTAAACAAATATTAGGACTGCTTTCTTGCATTTGTGCAATATCTCCAAAATTAGAAACATCCTGAATCAGAGTGATGCTGAAAAATTGGTTCATGCATTTATTACTTCTAAGCTAGACTGCTATGGACCATTATTATCGGGCTGTTCTAAAAGCCTTCAGTTCATCCAAAATGTGTACAGAAAGGGTACTGGAAAGAGAACATATTTCTCCCAGTTTGGGTTCCAGAGACAAAAATTTGCTCTACTTTTAAGGTTAGGCTTAAGACTTTTCTTTTTGCTGAAGCATATAGTTACAGTTGGATCAGGTTACCCTGAATCCCCCTTTAGTTACGCTGCAGTAGGCCTAGACTGCTTGGGGGAGTGAGTGTTTCCTCTTAATTCACCTTTTTCTTTCACTATGTGTTTATAAACCACTCTGCATTTATTCATTAGTAATGAATTTATTAATTTGCATACGGTGCAATTTTACCAATACATCTGAATTTAACCTCAAAATCAAAATTTTAGCTATATGAGCATTTGAAAAACATGTAAATTCTGAGAATGTAATTTAGAACATCTTCTAAGAATGTATGAATCTGGTGCTTCTTATGAAGAAGGTCAAAAACAGAGACTGATCTGCTGCCTCCACTATGAATGTTTTCATTAAGATCATTTTTCTAATAATGATTAATGGACCTTTTTGCTGTTTTCAGCATTGCAAGAAATGTAACTGGTTTGTTTGCTTTGTATAGATCATAGAGAAAAGATCAAAAAGCTTCTCAGGCTTCAAGTAACAACTTGAGTTTCATAATAGCCTTGATTTTGGTGTTTGCTTGAAGATTTTCTGTTACGTTTGGCAGCATCAGTTACAACCTCACAATATGTCATGACATTTTTACCACCATCTCTGCGCAAGTTGCAAAGTACTATGTATACCATTGCAGTTTCCATAATTCAGTTGTTATTCCAGTGGTACTGCCATGCAAACACATAAGGAAAATAGCAGCAAATGGAAATTTCCCTCTCCTTTCAAAGGTCCAGCAGTTAGGTGAGAGTCACTGGCTTCGCTAAAGGAGTCCTTTATGTGTTCTGTGCTGTGTGGTCTGCACATGTTCTTCTTAGCACATACTCATTTCTGGATGTCGTTGACTTACATATAGCTGGGAGCACATTAAACTTAGTAGCTTGTCAGGCTTAAATTGTGAACTTTGTAAACAAACTGCTGTCAATCTTTACTATTTATATATATATATATATATATATATATATATATATATATATATATATATATATATATATATATATATATATATATATATATTATTGTTAAATTGTTGAATTTTCGAAATGTCTAAAAAAACTGTGTATGAGGGTGTAGTTTTTAATCTCACATGTTAACAGAACTGTGTTTTACAATGCTATGGTGAAATATTTGCTGAGAGGATATCTTTCCATATTTAAACTTACCTCTCTTTAGCATTTGTAAGCAGCAAACTAAATGCGTTTAACACTCTAGCAGGTACACAGGTATCTGGCATTTGTTGATGTATTTCTTTATGATAATTTTCTAGTGGGAACCTATAAAGTGAGGCTGGTTTATGAAATGAACAACAATATAATAAGACTTGCTGTTAATAATATATATTTGTAATAGAGAAGTTAGCTGTAAAACATCAAGTACAAAAATTGCCTTTGCTGTGATTGATTTTTGCCCTTTGATGCAAGCCGAGGTTAAATAATCTCAGAAGTCACCTTCAGGTCCTGTCGGAAATTTGGGAAAGGTATAATGGTAGGCATAATAATCATCAAATAATAACATTGATTAATAAATTATGACTACTACACCTATAACTAAATCACGTTCTAATCTTCGAATCATACAAATATATATGTATATAGACATGGTATGTACAGGAATGTTGCATCTTATAATGAGAAGGGAACTTGATTAGCCTACAATACATCAGGAATAATGGACGTTATAAAATTGAAATCCTTTATCTTATATTTAGAATATTATAAACAAGAGATGTTTTTACAGTAGTGTAAAGTCTGAATTAATATTCAACGCTACAATAAGTATTATAAGCAATACATGTTTTTTTTTCAATTGATGATGAAATGTAACTTTTCTTAAAGTGTTTGCCACATTTTTCTTAATACATTTGATCATCAATGAAAAACTGCATTTTGTATTTATTCAGGTTTTTATTGTCCAATATGAAAATTTGTTTGATGATCTGGAAGGAGGAAAACACTTTCTCATGGCACTGTATGTGCAAGTTTTCACTTTGAGTTGTGAGAGATCTGAGCTTCTTAGATGACCATGAAGGCATCAGGTCCAGCCCCTTCTCTCAGGATCGTTCAGATGTGTTTCGTCCTCTCGGCAGTTGGTGAAGGAGGAGGAGAAGGAGCTGAGCGGTTAATGTACAGGAGAACCACCGCGCCGAAAGTCTGGGAAAAGACAAGTGCCACCGTTTGATAAGCTGTTGGAAAGCCATAGAAGCTCGCCTGATTAGATTTTTCTGCTTTCTAAATGCTCAGAAAGATCAGATGTCATTTTCCGAAGCACATAAGCGATGTTAAAGTCAACGGTTTACCTTGTGTTCAGGTGAGTGTAGATCCACCTCAAAGAGACTTCATGGAGTGTTAACGTTACCGTTATAGCTCAGCTAGCTTTGGTGGTTACAGTCCGCCGTTATATTTGTATGTTTACCGTTACCTTTGACCTGTGATGGACGAGTACAAGGACCGGGGGCTCACACTTCGTAACTTCGTACTGGGTTGGTATTTTTTCTGTATTTTCTTCCAATCACGTCCGCGGCAGGACTTTTCGTTTGGTCGTCATAAGTGGAAAACGCGGAAAGAGGCTGTAAAGGAATCATGCGACCAAAATTATGAGTCGATCATCCCAAATGTGTCTGGCACTGCTATTACTACCATATTCTATATATATATATATATATATATATATTACCCCTTAATTATAAAAATGTAACGTAAACGTAAACTAGAAGTGCATTTTATTTGGTGTCTGCGCTTTCAGTTTATCCCTTATTATCTAAAAAAGTGACTTTTTTTTAGCGATACTGTGGCTTTTGTGATCTCAGTGTTGTCAGTTGCCAACATGTGTTTTTGCTGCTGTCAGGTCATTTCAGGCACAGCCTGTGAAGTCTGCACCCTTGGCTTTCTAGCGCATCAGTGGTTCAGAGAAGGGTATGGCCCCAGCTCTGACAAAAATCCTTAAAAATGGCCACGGGATCCACTTGTCCTCACCCCCTGCCACTGTCAGAACTGACTCAGATGGGAGAGCCATGTGCAGTATAGAGCTACAGCCTCACATGAGACCCATAGATGATGATGACAATGACCTCCAGCAGAAGATGTGGAACCTTTCTTCATTTCACTTCCTGGACTCCTGCCTACCTTTCAGTCTCTTGGACGCTTCTTCCAACCCTCCGCTTTCGCCATGCCCGCAGACATCCGACAGCCAGTGTGAGACGATGTCCCTGCCCAGTCCAAACTCCCTTGTCAACCTCCTGTCCTTCAATAAAGGCTCCAGAGATTCCCATCATGTGGCCTCAGTCTTCCCAGATGTACCGGACATGTTTTTAGTTCCTGGGCCTGAACACAATAGACAACACATTTGTCTGCCACATGGATGGAGTGCCGCTCCTGAATGCCAGCCATATGGTGGTGATGTGTACCACTCCTCTCTTAACCTTACGAGTGTTTGTCCTCCATATCCCCAAGGGGAGTTAACATCCCCGGGCCACACACATTTGTTTGCACCTCCACCTTCGCTGAGACAGGAGAAAGCAGCGGGGATGGTCTGCCCTCCCCCAGTTTCAGCGCAGCCTTGCATTGACAGGGTAAGCCCTGACCAGCTGACGTCCAGAGCTGTGCTAGAGGAAGCCGTGAAGGCGCAGTTCTCGCGGCAGACAGACCTGCGCAGCCGGGCTTTGAAACTGCGAAAGAGACTGCAGATCCTGCTAGGAGAGCAGACTGTGCGGCACTGCAACCAGCAGCTGGAGGGGCTGGCAAAACACAGTCAACATGGAGATTTGTCTTTTGACTGCTTCAACTCTGCACAAGAAAGCAGTAAACTAAGTTTTCCTTGGCTAGAGTTGCCAATAGCCTCGTCATCCTTCTCAGAGGTCGGAGAGTTCAGCCACTCC